ACCTAGCTGTTTTGTTGATATAGCTATATATAGTCATCGCTGTCAAAGCGTGGCCGTCAGATATCCTGCTTCCTAGTGTTTTTGTCTTACCTTCACATCCTAGGACGCCCGGAACCATTTCACACAATACTTCAGGCTAGGCCCAGATGGTTGCGGCATTATCACTTTGATAAACCCTCTTGGCAAAGCAATGCGCTCTACCAATTCACCAGCTCATCCCCACTTAGAAATACTTTTCCTCTTACCTTTATCCTTAGTGCATCCCGGTTGGATGGTTCCCTTGTTATAGACAAAGTCCGCTGTGCCTACCCTGTTCCTGGTTCCACAAGAGATGGAGTTGGTATGGTAGAAGTGAGCGATGCGAGCGTCCGAGGCAGATACATGCATCAGAGCCGGATGACCTTTCCACTTAGCGTGAAACCCTGGACCTGCTGGGTCCAGACCTGTAGAATATCATTTGCATGTATGTATGGTGATGTGTTGGTACCTAAAGGCAACCCTTGGTACCAACGGTTCTTAGGAAAAGTAGCAGTACCAAGAACTGATTAAGATGTCGTTGATGGCAATTTAGTATCAACGGGGCACTCTTACGCTGGGTGAATTGCAGGTGCAGCAAACAAAAATGTTTATTAGTGGAAATTATTCATTTTTTGTCCCACAAAAGGGTGTTTAATTTTATTCTATGGTACAACTATAATAACAGTTTTTTGTTTTTTTCCTGGTCATAAAAATTATGAGAATGGTGGAAATGTATCTTGGATATGGTTAAAAATCAACAAAATCAACCTTAAATTGCCTTAAAATCTAGTGATATGGTTCTATAAAAAGAGACTGTTTAATCCAAAGCTTCGATTGTGTTCCTAAGGCTTTATTTTTACAACTTTGTCCTCAGGATGATTGCCTGATACTGTTATGTATTTATATTTCGTTGAAATAGTTTTAAAATTAAAATGTCAATATATAAATCAAAACACCCTCTCTAGGACAAAAATATACCTTAAAATTGTCTTAAGAATAACTGTAAAGGTTGACCAATTTAGTGTTATTTTTAATCTATCATACAACAATTTTACCAGCTATGAAGTTGATTTCCCCGACAGTTTCCTTGACCACTCGGGCTGCATAGCCCGCCACCTGTGCTCCTATGCTGTACCCAATGATGTTGATGTTTTCAGGCTTCACCAGCTGTTGTTGCACGGCTCTACTGAACATTTCACCGATCGCGTCTCCAGCAGGCTGCAAAACAGAATGTCGACTTAGCAAACTACGCCGGTCTTTGGGGAGTGAGATGGTCCAGTGGTAGAGCATGGAGCTTCGGTGCCCAAGGTCGTGGGTTCAAATCCCGCCAATCACCAGTGGATTTTATCAATGTGATAATGCCACAACCCACTAGGACTAGCCTGAAGTAATGTGTAAAACAGTTCCATGCTAGAACTAGCGTCCTAGGATGTGAAGGTGGGACATAAAAAAATCAAAAACCGTTGGTCTTTGGAGATGACCTTGTTGGACTGGTAAAAAAACAACATTTAGGAAACGTTGTAGAAAGTATTTGATCAAGCTACGATTTAATAAGGATTGGCTACCCGCAACAACTTGTAATTTTAGCTTACCACAAAAAAATAGATTACTGCGACGCATGTGAGTATATTTTCCAATTCAACAACGCAGACATTTCTAAGACAAAGATTTGATAGACCGTGATCATGGAAGCCTAGTTCACATCTTTCATGTTAAAAATTTGTATTATTTTTATAAGGTGGCACAACAGCATAGAAGACAGACCAAAGCAATTGTTCCGTTATCAAGTAGTACTAGGAGAAGATTACAAGTAATAAGTTAAGTATATGAAATTATTCTTATCCAAGTACTGCATGAAATATTATACCTGAACATTAGCGAGGATTCCAAAGTAGAATTGATTTCTAAAACTGTTCTCAAAGAGTTCTGGCATATCCACGGCAAAGATGTTGTACTCGTTTGTTAGCTTTCTTTTGTTGAATGCTAGAAGTAAAAAAATCATAAAGTACGTAGGCCTTCTACATTTGATTAAGTGGTGAATGTAAAAATAACCTGTTTTGGGCCTCAATCACTGTATTGCCTATACATTAGATAGTTATTTTGTTGGTCATAATTGAAAGAGGTGCGTTTTTGATTCACTGTAGTATAAACAATTTTTTTTCCTAGGACGCTATAAACAATGTTGCTACCTTAAAAAAAAACGCTGTTGAGAGTTTTAAGATTCTCATCCAAGATAGTTAGGGATTTTAAGATGGACTTTTCACTCTTTAAATGAGTACATGAATAAATGAATTCACTTCTCAAGCTTAACTTAGTAAGTTAGCTTTGTTACATGTCCAGGTTTGGAAAAGTCAGATATTTCTGAAGTTTCAAGTAGCACAGTTATTCATGATAGATTTTTGGACACGTTAAATATGTTGATATAAGCATTTATACTTAAACTTCATATTTTTAATTGAATTTTTACTTTAAATTAAATTTAATTGCGTGTAACATTTTTAGTATCATATTATGACATATCATATAACCGAATCGTTGAAAACCTGCTTATGACTATGATAACTATAGTGTCAGTAAAAACCACAAAATATATTTACCCCGAATGATTCCGTTTACAGCATAACAGTCAGCTCCATGGTCCATCCCATGGATTATAAGTACCAAAGGTAGCGTCTGATTGAATCCTTTGCTTTCTTGGAACAGTGTTTCTCCTTCAGAGATATGGGCTGCTTCAAAAACTGAATATCCTTCCCTGAAATTCTTACAGTTGGGTAAAAAACAAATATTTTGACATAAATAATTTGACTTTATTTTGAAATAAACCCAGGTTTTTATTTTTCATGAGGTTAACCGAGGTCATGGTCTTTGAAGCAACGTGCTGTAGTGCATGTTCATATCACTAAAAAGTTAATTTCCAGTAAAGCTTAAGAAGCCTCAAAATAGCATTGGTTTTGAAAGAGTGGATGAACGTTTTAGATAGGATATAATTCAATGACTAATTAACAATATTTAAAATATGATGAATGTTTTAAACTATGATGTTAGCCTCAGGATTGCCAAATAATAATAAAAGGTTTTTAAATACCTGCTATTAAGCAATCCATTCTATTGCAGTAGCAACTATAGTTTCGGATCACTATTGATCCATCATCATTGTACAAGGACTTCATATGAAGAGTGTCACATTTAACACGTAAATAAATAAACATTTACACGACACGATACGAACCCGGAAAAACATTTATGGTAGATAACTGATCAGTTGTAACAGACGCTAACCCGGTTTAATAACAGGTATTTAAACCTTTTTATTAATATTTTAAAGATTTGATAATTGATTTTTCCCTTACCATAACACTTAAATATGGTATCTAATATTCCAAACTATTATACCTCGGTTTGTCAAAACACTTTGCAGAAATCCTGGCTGGAGGTGATTATGAAAGTGAAGAATGATAACAGCAAATTAATGTGTATGTGGCATCCTAGTTCTTGATGGTGATCTACTTGGGAACTACGTACACTAAAATAATTGTTTATACACTATGGTTCATATAAGATCCTTAATAGTTGAATGACAATTAAAAACTGTATTTTTGTCTAAAATGTTTTTCTCTGGAATGTGTTACAAACATACCTTACCTGTATAATCTCAGCTTTATTTTGTCTTCATAATATATTGCCTCCACCAGACATAGCTGAAGACCTAAAGAAATATATTAATCATACAGTCATCACTTCTTCCCAACTTTCAATCCTATTTTTTTATTTGATATTTTACAAATTATTTTCCAATTTGGAATTCTTCTAATCATTTGAATCTGTAAAATAATCTATAGTCTATAAACTAAACTAGTATCACATTGTTCCTTAGTAAGTCCAGAGATTGTAGTTCTTAAGTCTCTATGGATGCTAATACCATTGTCTTTGACTTAGGTACTATACCGTTATCCTATCCCTCTTATTGAATAGAGTTAAATAAGCCTTATATATTGTTCCTATTGAAGCGTACATTTTAAATTCTATTTTCTCTTTTAGTTTTTTATACAATAAGACTTTATAGGAACATACAATATTATAAAGTTTACAATCAATTTTGTTTTTTATTCTTTAGTGTAATTCAAAAAGTTGGTACGATGAGAAATAAATTTAGTTTTGTACCTGTCAATGTTTCAATTGAATTATGTTATTTTGTATTCTAAAACTTGCTACAACTTTCACATTGAACTTCTAACAACACTTTGTAGGTATAACACTTTTATAATACAGGTACCATCTTTGCATAAGAGTAAACTAAATCTTAAAAAGCATTTTAAAACTTATATGATTACAATCTGCACTGTGATAAAACTCCCCTTATCAAGTTGATGTGGACAAAATTGTAAAGTATTATTTTATAGAAAAAGGCAATCTGAAAAATATAGGAAGGTTTGCAAACAGTTTTGAAAATATATATAAATAACTATACAAAACAAATCAATCACACAGCCTTTGCCAACAATGGACTTACAATGTATTAATAAAGCTGTGATGAAAAGACTCTGCATTATTTTGTATGAGACCACCAACACATTCTAGAAACTATTGTCACAATAAATAGAACCCTCCAATTTCTTCCAACTGTGTAATTGTCCTGGTGTCATTATTGAGGTAAAATAATTGATCCTATTAACTATTGAGCAATGTTGTCTGTAGAACAATTTACATTATGTACAATTCGATTGTATTCACATTTTACTTCACACCTCCCTATATCTAACAAATATTTTTTATTTATGTTTCACAATACATACCTTTGTAGTGTTTTGGGTTAAAAAATAGTGATTAGATGTATGGAATTAATTTGAAAAACTTGTGAATCTTTGCTTATCTAGATTGTTTGAACCTCAAACAGTCCTCAAATTAAATGTTGAGTGACAATTACAATAAATATACGTGTGAAATTCAAATCAAATTCCAGTGAATCAGTTAGCCAATTGCGAGGTAAATTTATCCAATCAAGAAAGGTTAATTAACATTCTAATTCAAGTTCACAAAGTTGGTGTCTCTAAGAAAAGTTTGTTTTTGTCTGAAGTGCTAAGTATCAATCAAGATCAGATCACCCTTCCATTGCATTCTGTTTTCCCTTCTAACCACGGTATTTAATTTACTTCACGGAGGATTAGATGAGTATTGAGTATGGAAGATAAATATATTTCCAATCACCCATTAGGATACTTTGGACTTGTTCCAACATTGCATTCCAATGCATCTAAGTTGTAGGTCAAAAGATTTATAAAACAACAGGGCCGGCAGCGGGCATTTGTAAAATTAGATTGATGCAATGTGATTAAATTTAAAGAAACTTTGCTTGATGATTAATGTGTTTCAGACTTCCTGGGCTGACAGTATCTCTATGTTTTGAAAACGTTCTGTTAGTTTGATTATCTCTCATTCAGTCACACCACGATCCACAAGCAAAATTCACCTTTATACTTTATACTTTCTTATGAAATGGCGACCATACAATTTAGGTATTTTAAGCCAAGTATGAATGGAGATGAGTGTAGGATGAGTGGCGCGATCTTGTAGTCTTGTTAGTGACTAAGGCCGACATTCCTTAGACACAGCTGTTAATTAATAGCCCAAACAGCTAATGGCAACTAAGGGACCTACAGTTTATAGTGGAATCCGAACCACATTTTTTCCTTGGTATATACAAATTGGTCTAATTATCAGGATAGCACTGCGGATAGTCGTAGTACTCACTAGTGCGGATGTTAATCCACACCAGGGAGTATCCCATCCACAGTGCATGCCTATAAATATCCACAATCCGTGACCTCCAAGTAGCTGGATTACAGGACGACGCCACCCGTCCCAGTCAACCAACTTTGGTCTCTTCTTGAAGACTATTGAATGACACCAGTTGGCCCACAGCATGAAAAACATCGTACAAATGTTGAAAACTCCCCCCACCCCTAACAATTTTTAGGTCCAAACACATTGCTCTATTCATGTCTGTGAAGTAGTGATGGATTTTAATAGCACTTGATAGACACCACAGAAATTTAATTCCTTACAGACCGTGATTTACCCATGGTATACTTGTTGGTAGTGTAAATTTTCTTTCACGACTTTTCAACTATACCAAGACTAATTGTCCCATTGGTGAGGTAAAGCTAGATTGTTAGTGTATTTCATTTTATTTCATCAGTGAATGTTCCAAGTCGGAATCAAATTGTCAATATAACCAGTAATTATTTCATGATTAATAGCTGAAAACTATCAAACATCTGTTTAGTTCGTGTTATGTACGTAAGCAAGAGTGACTACCTTTACATGTATGGCGGCCTACCGTATAAACTCTTATGGCACTTACGAAAGCGACATTTTGGCTGCTAGTACTGGGTATGTAATTCTTATATGTACTACTTTTGTCAATTCATTTTCTAACATATGGCTGCATAAATGTACAGTAATCATTATTAACTACCGTCAGCAAAATGTAGTGAACAAATTAGAGATTACTTATCACAATATATGATATTGACCTTGTGTATATTTAAGAGTCTACTTGAGTTTTATTTTAAAACTTTAAGCTTCAGGGATTATTCATTGATATGATTATTCATACTTGTATTGTGTTTTTTTAATCCTTTTAACACTAAAATTTGTATGGATCAATTTTATTGGTGAATACAAACTTTGACTAATAAAACTAAACATTAAATTCTCATACTAAATTTGTAGCCATTTTGCACTGGAAATAAACGTAGTTGAGTTTAAGCCTGCAATAGAGTCCTCTGATGTGAATGACTAAATTCAGTCGAATACGCTAACTTTTTAACCAATCTAAAAATAAAAGAAAACATGCTCTATATTACATATTTTGTGTTTCATTACAGTAAAAAAGTAAAGGAAAAAATTTAGAATTTGGCACTTTGTTAATGGATCTTGCAGCTACAGTATGTTCTTTTTTAATAGTGCTCACCTTATATTCCAAAGGTTGCCGGTCCGATCCTGAAAAAAGCAGTAGCTTTTTGATGGCTCGAAACTGGGTCGAGCTGTCCTTGATCATTGAATGTTTCGTAAATGGTCCTTGCTAATGAAACAGCTGATCTTAGTCAATAGTTAAGCTAAACAGATCATCTCACTTCATTCTACACTCATCCTTCACTCATATTTGGGTAAATAGGCATCTAGGTGGCTTCCCCCTCCCAATCTTAATATTTAAAAAATTCGGTTTTTATTTCCCGAGTTCGTTTGGCTCTTCTACCCGACCGATTTTCATGACGAGGTCTCAAATTGAAGGTATCAACGAACAGATATCACATCAAGCATTGGCATATATTTGCATTTTTTACCTACTGTATTACTTGACCAAAAAACATAAATTTGATTTATTTTTTAATTCTTACTTCAATGTAAGACGTATTTCACCAGTTATATATAATCCTATATATTTGGTCTAAGAACCTTCAGTGAAATACAAGCTTTTATTTGAGCTATTAGTTATTCAAATCGGACGAGTTTCAAGCAAATGCGGACAACCAACATAAAAATTATTTTTTAAGGTTTTTCTATGATTGAAAATCAATATAGCTCCAGTATTGTTTATGGGGAGCGAGCTGGCGTAGTGGTTAGAGCGCGGGACTTCAGTCCCTGAGGTCCCGGGTTCGATCCCCACCAAGTCACCAATGGATTTTATCCAAGTGATAATGCCGCAACCCCTAGGTCTAGCCTGAAGTAATGTGAAAAACAATCTCAGGCTCGTGCCTAGCGTCTTAGGACAAAAAAAAAGTATTGTTTATGGGTTTTTATATGTTTTAGACTCAAAATAATCAGTAAATTATAGGCTTTAATTTGAGCTATTGATCGTTAGAATCGGTTAATTTCAGGATACTGTATTACTCAATCAAAAATCATAAATTTTATTATTTCTCGGATATGATATTTATATAAGGCTGCGAATCAGCATCCATGGGTCATCTAGTAATTAATAATAATAACTCTTCACTTGATTTATTGGCCTTTGGAGGTCAAAAAGTTTAATAAATAAACATTTTTCCAGTGTCCTCTTTGCAAATATCAAAAGCAGAATGGTCGGCAGAAGGACGTGTTGGATTACGATTTTACACGTGAGTATATTTATAAACCTATCAATTTTAACAAGCTTTGGCTAGTGATAAAAATATTATATATCTTTATTTGTATTATTATTTTTTGAGTTGTAGCCAGCTTTAGAATGAAAAAATGAAAATTGAACCTAGTTGAAAGGATAAAATATACATACCGAAGACCGCTTGGCCGGCCTTGGCGCAGTGGTGGCATGAGCCATCACAGGCCCCCGGTACTAATCTATATATAAACATGTAATCATTAAAGTTTTCTCCAGGGAAGGCCCCAATGTCTACATAGAGGAACCAATAGAGTCAGGAGTAAACATCTTCAGCCACAACCATTTCAATAGCACTCTACCGGTGGTCATACTTATTCATGGAATGGATGCGTCAGTCGACTGCATATTTGTAGAGGAGAGTGTCAAAGGCAAGTGTAAAATTATACCAACAAATATTTTGTATTGAATTGTGTTTGAATGGTATGATTCCAGTTGTGATGCTATGTTAATGATCACTTTAATGTACTAAAGGTAAATATCTAGAGCAATAAGTATTTTTGTCGTTTGTAGAAAGTGGCTATTTTTGTAACACTTGATGTCAATTTCAATTATTATGCTTCTTAAGCACTCAATTTAATTTATACTTGTTGTCTCTTGCGTTGTTTTCCATTCACGTACTATGTGTTTCGTGGTTCATTAGAGAATTATTTTGTAGTGGAAATAATATGATTTTAGCTACGGGTATTTATCAATAAAGAAACATCTTATAAAGAAAGTTCTTATAAAAAACTTTCAATTTGCTATTTTCTCACAATTTTTTGTCTTGAACTTTGTGTGGTCATCTCTTTGCCATTTAAATCATAACTTTTAAAACTTTATTTTTAAAAACTTGGTGGAATACTAAATGCATTATCTTTGATTTTTTTAACGTATATATTTCATTCATTTTCAGCAATGTACTTCCGGGGGTTGAACAAAAACTTCAACATCATAGCTCTAAACCTACCTGAACTGTTGGCGGTTCAGAGTGTGATGGATAAATATCTATACACCACAGCAGTCAACAGCAAGGTAGGTTTGGCATTTTATTGAACCAATTCCCATTAATATGGTTTAAGATTCAAGTCTTTTCACCAAGAAACATTGTAGTTGTGTTGTAGCATTTATCAAATGGTTTATCTTATCTTACTAATATTATAAATCTGAAAGTTTGTGAGTTTGTGTGTATGTTTGTGTGTATGTTTGTGTGTATGTTTGTGTGTGTGTTGCTCAATCACGCATAAACTACTGGACGGATTGGGCTGAAATTTGGCATGATGATAGCTCACATTCCCGATTAACATTAAAGCATATTCTTATCTCAAAAACCCTTTTGGGCTCCGCCCCAGTGGCTCTGTAGTTCCCCATGTTAATCTTATGATTTTTCATATTTAAAAGGAATTAATGAATCTTAACAGCTGTTTCAATTAAACAAGTTGGTTCTGTTCTATGATGTTCAATAGCATAAAAGTTACAAGGATTACCAACAGGGTGCAGCACTATTATGTTTTTTATTTATTTATGACAACAGCTAATTTCCAACCAAAAGGTGAGTGAGCGTAGCGAACGAACTTCAACCTGGAGGCGAGTTAGCGTAGCGAACGAGCTAACCTGAAGGCAAGTGAGCGCAGCGAACGAGCTCCAACCTAAAGGTGAGTGAGCGTAGCGAACGAACTTCAACCAGGACGTGAATGAGCCATGCGAATACTTATGAAGTTAAACGGGGCGAAGCCCGCGGGTACAGCTAGTTAAACATAAACCATTAATTGAACGTAAACTGTTGTAAACAGTGTCCAATTGAGAAGAAATATTGTAAATATTAATCAGTGCACCAGCTGACTATTTGCACAGACTGGGCTCCAGTTTGACTAAAAACCATGCAGTCTAAAAGCTTGCATTTACTACATGGGCCACTGACGCTTCACTTTACTACTTTTCAATGAAGTGGCGACCATACAAAGTAGGTATTTTAAGCCAAGTATGAATGGAGATGAGTGTAGGATGAGTGGCTCGATCCTGTAGTCTTGTTAGTGACTAAGGCCGAAATTTTCCTTGGATACAGCTGTTAATTAATAGCCCATACAGTTAATGGCAACTAAGGGACTTACAGTTTATAACCACGGCCACAGTGCAGCAATAGTGGTTCAGTGGCAGTGAAAGGCTACAACACAGCACGGTTTTTTGCCTTCGCCATATTCATAACCGTGTTGTATTAATACCAAATAACTTACTTTTACAGTTTTTAACCGAATGGCAGAAACCTTGTATGAAAGGAACTTTAGAGTGTATATAAAAGTTTTGAGTTTTAACTGATGGCTACTCAATTATCTACTATTTGCAGATTAAGTCCTGAAATATCGACGTTATTTTGTGTGACTTTTTACGTAACTATAAGCCCCTGGACTCTTGCATCTCTCAGGTAGGCAATCTTTACACCTTTTCAAAATTATTAACCAAAAAAATGAGTATTTCCTCAATATTTGATAAAAAAGCAATATTTTCCAGATAGCAGGGGTTGCAGTTGGAAAGTTTTTAAACAATGTTATAAAACAAAAATTTACGACCCCGGACAAGATTCACGTGGTCGGTTACAGCATGGGGGCTCAAGTATCTGGGTACTTAGCTAGGGAAGTCAAGGCAGAACATGGATTGATAAACTTCATTATGGGTAAGTGAAACTCAATGGTTCTTACGCTGCTCGTCAGGAAAGCTCTTAATTGATTTTTTTATCCAAGGTAGGTGTACTGCAAACTCACTGCTTTTAGTGGCACTCGCCCCTACCAACGACATGTAGTCTGACATGTAAGCTCAGTTGGTGTTGTACTGACTATTGTAGCACTGAGGACTTTTTACATGTGCACCTTGCAGGTTCAATTCCCATATGTGGGCAATAAATATTAAGCTTCCTAATGTGTGGCTTAGTCAGTGGAAGAACCTGCCTTAAACAAACGATGTCCGGCTTGGTAGGAAACTTTTTTTATAAAGAGGTTGGCAGCATCTTTTAACCTTGCATTTGCCCGTCCACATAGACTACAGATCTGCGCGTATAACGTATCCAGCAAAGCAAGGGGTGAGCCGGTACAGTACAAAGGTGAACTGTACTGATAAAAGTTAGTGGCAGTGACCAGGATCCGAACCCACGACACTACTGCCTAGGGCCCGAAGTCCGCGACGCTACCGACTGAGCCACCGACTCACAAAACTGACCAACTGACGGTATTAGTGAGTTTAACACGTTCAGTGCTAGGGGCGGGAATTCACGCCCCGCGGTACCGGCACCTCTGACGCGGGGAAATGTAGTCCTTCTCCAATTCCAACAACCTTGCTTCAATGTGAGCTCAGCCATTGCCGGGGAACGTTATAATCGTTGCCAGCCTGTAGCTTAGAACATAAGCTTTAGTCTGGTGTAGGTTGGTACTAAAATTTCCCGTAAAATCCCATCTGGCAATGCTTTTGTCCTGGTTCCAGCAATTTTCTCTTTTCGAGCCACTTTACAAAGACACTGGCTACGGATCCATTCAGTGCTGCTACCTTTGGGTGTTTCAGTGAACTACGTCCACTCTCGGGCTAACGCAGCACAATCACTGCTGCTCTTTTTTTACTCGTCAGGCTGAAATATTTGAATGCCAATTGCGTTCACCGATTCAGTTGCGCGGCGGGTCTTCGCCCGGGCCTCGCCGCCATTGGCGAGCGCCTGTTTGAAGGTATGCCGCACTGAATGTGTTAATATAGATCGCTAACAACACCTGGCTTACTTCTTTTTACTCTAGCATACAAAATTATATCAATAAAGGAATTTAATTCCAGCATTAGTGTTGTAAGGAGCCATCCCATGCAATAAATATTTACTTCCCTACATTATGCACCATAAAAATGTATACCTAAAATCTTTCAACCTAGATATTTTCTGAGGGGATCCATGCAGAGGAAAAGTCATCCCCAACAAAATCTTAGTAAAACAAATCCTTAAACATATTTTTGGTTGTAGCATTATTGCAGAAATGTTTACAATTTTTGGCCCCATGATGGTTATTAACAAACCAAAACAATATGCATAAGTAATACAATTATCAATCATTAAGATGAGGATATGTGCTTATGATATATGTGCTTATTTTAACTAAAATATGAGTGAAGGATGAGTTTAGAATGGAGTGGTATGATATGTGTAGCTTTGTTACTGACTAAGATCAGCTGTTTCATTAGTCAGGATCATTTATTAAAAGCCCAATGATCAGGAACAGCTGGACTCAGTTTCAAAACATTAAAAACTTCTGATTTTTCTCAGGATCAATCTGGCAACCTTTTAATTTCCAAGCAAACCGTATAACCACTCAGCTACCGAGCAACACATAGTGCATTTTGATATGTTGCCATAGGACTAGACCCAGCTGGTATTGGCTTCACCCCGTCCACTTTCGCCTCATGGTACACCGGACTGACGCACGTGACGGCAGACGACGCACAATATGTTCACTTCGTGCACTGCAACTCCCTTGGCTGGGGAACACTTCACTACCAAGCCACGGCAAACTTTGTCTTCAACGGAGGGAATTTCCAGCCTGGGTGTGCCACCAGTAAAAGTTGGTAGCTATGTTTTTTAATATATAAACGTCTTGATCCCCTTATTGTTAATACGAGGGCTATTCAGAAAGAAGGAGCATTTGCGTCTAACGTTAGGCATGCACCGATTGTGAATTTTCAAGTACAGGCGTGTTCATCTCCTCTGTAAGTCCATCGCTCACAGTAGTGAGTGTTGTTGCTCATTTTTTGCGATACTTATGTTACAAATTTGCAATTGAAAATCTTGCCAGTTGGGAGGTGCGTGCGTGCGTCTTTACGGATTTTGAGGCCAAAAACGTAAAATCTACAGAAATTTTTCAGGCTGCTTGTCCTGGACTCCCTGGTGTGGCTGAGATTGCAGACGACGGAATTCTGTGACAAAGAAATTTCAGAGCTAGTTTACCATGCATGCTATCTCCAAAATATTTATGACTAAAAATTCATCTAGAACAATTTCTTACAACCTACGTTCATTCAATCCACAATTATGCCATAGGTCGACTAGTTCGAACTAGGGAGCATCACTAGTAGCCATCTCCTAATAAGTCATAACTAATATTTATTACTCATACAAGTGTAAAGTGCTTTATAATTATCAGTTAGACTCTGGTTTGTTTAGATCTCGGATGCAGCCACAACAGAGTGCCGTTCTACTTCATTGACAGTGTTTTGTACCCAGAAAACTTTGTAGCTAAGAAATGTGATTCGTGGAAAAGTTTCACCTCCTGTCAATGTGAATCTGAAGAAACGGTGTTCGTGACCTTCCCACCTGTATTGGGGTATGTTTAGAGTTTTAAACATCAATTACCAAATGTAGGTTTAATTTTTCTGCATATTGATTCAAACGATAATATAATCAACTCATCTTATGTATCAGAATATATATATTTAAAGGCTATAAAATAGTCTAGTTTGTCTACTATGCAGAGTATATATGACATGTTCTGCTACCTGGAGGCCAAGTTTAGAACTAGACTACCAAGCTTTGGCTTTTTTGGCAGGGGATTTTAGAGCGAGCGGTAGACAGTAATGTTAAATCAAAAGTGTAAGGTGCTGTCTTCCAGGCTAGGAGACAAAACTATGGATTAAGGGTACAAATGATCACCAATCCCCCACTGGCCCTGGTTGAAGTCAGGTCTGGTGTACACCTCAATGGCGGCGATAAGAATAAGAAGTACCCGTGGGCCATCTTCAACTCTTCTCTTAATAATCTTTAAAAACATTATCACAGGTCCCCCTAAACTTGCACTTTTGCTTTTTGCAACTTCCGAGGCACCAAGTTGTAGTCATTGTCTTATAAAATATGATCGCAACAAAATTGTGAATACTTCTCACAGTCACGGAAACATTATTATAGTCTAGTGTGATTGCAAAAAAACCTAGGACATCATCAGATAACAACATCATGGTCTCCCGCGATAGCGGCCCAATCTCTAATATTTCCCGAGTTGCAGAAACATATTATTTTTCTGCAATCACAGTAAAATCCCAATTAAATGTACTGCGGAAAAAGAAATGTCATCATCGTCTTATGTAGTAGAGTTAAAATCTTAAATGTCTTGCACAATCACGGAAACATTCAAATTGTCTTCCACTATCGTGAAACCTCCTGCGGTCCTGTGGACATCATTATTGTCTTCGGCAATAGCGGCATAACATCTCCCACAGCCAAGCAGACATCATCACCTGCGGGGAAATGTTCTTGTCAACATCCGCGATCGCGGCAAAAGCGTTAATCTTAATAAAAAACGTACGGTAATACCATATAAATATTGTTGTGAGAGTGCCTGTGTAAAATCTCCCTAAATCCCAGGCAAGGCTACCCCCCCCCCCCCCCTAGCACCAGAGGCCCTGCAGGACCACTATTGCCCCCACTGATTCACCATTGGCAGAGTTTAGTGGGGAATAAATGGTGAAAGGTGATGGGATGTTTGGATGTGTGTTTTCTTCGAGAGTCACACCTGAAGTCAGGCATTATTGTGAAAGGCTATTAAAAACGGTTTTAATATTATTTATATTTTTGGGTTCGTAAAGATGAGGGAAATGACTGATAAAAATATGAATTGTTAAATCACACAATAATTTATAAAGTTAAAAGTTCGGAATGGTTCGTTAAAAACTAAAAACCCTCTATGTTTCAGAGCTAAAGGAACTTATCAATTAAAGACAAATTCAGAAACTCCGTTTGGACTTTCAGAAGCCGGTGTCAAATGTGAAAAGGACACCACAGTGTTGGAAGTATCTAAATTTGTGAAATCACTTCAAGAAAACAATAAGAAAATCAGAAAGCAGGGCTTGAAACTAAATGGAAAATATGTCAAAACGTCAAGCAGAAAAGTTCACAAGACGGCAAAATCTCCTATATCATTTCGTCATAGGACTGTAGACAAATATATTAAATTACATCCGAAAAAACCAGCGACATCAAGAAGTAGTAAAAATAAAGTTAAACACAGTGCTAAACTTAAGAAGCAATCAAAGACACATGATATATCCATGCATGATATGGTGGAACATATGCATCACAACGTCGTTGATAAATGATTTCTAAAACATAACTTGTGAATTCATCCATAGCAATCTAAATTTTATAGGTATCTATTTTTTCTGTTTATTTTTTATCTAAATTTTACCGTTCCTTCTAATCTTGCAATCTTCAAAAAGATTTTAAATTTTAAATAATAATAGATGAAGAAAATTTTTGATGGTGAGAATTTAAGAAACACATAGGCTACCAGTATATACACTTTTGTTGATTAGTAAAAAAATGGAATTTTTAAAGGGGTCGGCGGCTTTTTATTAACCTAGTATTTTTCTATCCATACGGGTCTCTGGTCTGTGCATGGAAGGCATCAAGCAAAAGCTAACCAAGGGATGAGCTGGTATGTTACGAGAATAAACTGTGTTGAACAATTTATTTCAGTCGTCAACTTCTGCTGAAGACTGTCACATTTAAAAAACTAACAAAAAATCACATAAATTTTTAAATCAGCTGATTTTGCAAAATCGAACCAGGCTAAGGCAAGGCCACACTAAAAAAACAGGCAGTAATGCTCGTCAAGCATGACGTCACGATAGAAGACGGCTATGACGTATAAGTATTTATTTATTTATTTTCCAATGAAAGATTAAAACAAGCAGCTGATCACAAACAGCAAAATTACGTCATTGCCGTCTTCTATCGTGACGTCATGCTTGATGAGCATTACGGCCTGTTTTTTTAGTGTGGCCTTGGCTAAAGTTGAGCTTGGACTGAGTTCAATTCAATATCAAAATTAGTTGCTCGTCTTAATGCATGAAGTCAACCTCTGCAATTCAAACCGCGCTACTGTAAGCCTCTGTAATTCTAATTCGGGACAAAAAATACACCCGTTGAAAAATGAACTGACGCTCTTATTTACGTTCCCATGATATGTTCATTAATGCAGTTTAAGCGATTACCACATAAACAAGTAGCTACCCTTTTGATGTTTATTAATGATCCAGAGGTTATAGAACTAGCATTGACTATATACCACAAGTGTGAGTAATTTAATTTTCAATCTGCTAGGTGTGCAGGGAAATTTCCTGGCCTCAACTGCTACTATGAACTCGGGAAGTCTATTCATGGTAGGCCTATATAGTCAATGGTACTAATAATGAAGTTACCCAAGCTACACTATATCAGCACAGAGATTTATACATGGCAACAAAGATGATTTTGGCATGCTAAGAGAAATAAATGAAAATTTGAATGTAGATAACCTTCTTTATTCGCTTATGACGCATCATACACCTTGGTAAACTGATCAGCCCATTCAAAAGCCAGATCAAAAATGGATAAGGGACACTTTTCTTTGTACTTGGAGCATTTCTTCTCGTCTGTATGGTACTCTTCCAGGATGCCTGTTGTTTCATTTGTGGGTATCCTAAAAAAGTTTGTTTTGCAAAATTAGAAATATAATACTATAAAAGTTTAGAACAGCAACAAACTACTGTTTACCATTGAAGTAAAAAATTATGAGGTTTGTCTGCTTGATTTATATCTAAATTTTTATTAGTCAGGATCATAAATTGAACGTATTTCCAAATTTGTAAGCCTTGACAAACAACTATGAAGACAATTTCAATGAATTTGTCGGTCAAACGTTACACATGAAACATAGTATACCAAAATAAGCTTAGAATTTATGTTATAATAGAAGAAGAAGTCTGTACTTTCAGTAAGTAATTCCTAAATCCTAACTTTTCATCAAAGTATCATATATATATAATATCTTAAGTCAATTATTGTTTTGGAATCGTGATAAATATTTCACTCATGATAAGATTCAAGGATGAAGTGATCCGTAATGTACTTACGAAAATATAACATTAAGTAAATCTTGTATCAAGTTTTCTTCCGATGTTTTTGGCATGGTTCTAGTGTCGCATAATGCCTTAAGCAAGCAGGCTCTCCCATCATGACCTTGCCTTGAAAACCACACGAAAAGAAACAAGATTTAAATTATATAAATATAAATCATAAGAAACAAAATTCTACATGATTAGAGTATATTTCTGTGTTAAAAATTGACTCAAAGTAGTCTTAAGATGGTCACTTTATAAAGTAGTGAGTGATTTTACTAGTGCTAAAATTTGTAAAAAGCCAAAATCGTCGCATTAAAACTATTTAAATCACTGACAATCTAATTTGATCAAGAAAAGAGATTAAGGTAAAGAGAAGCCATATTTTTATGTTTGGTGAGTGAGATTAAATCTGAATAACTTCTTGATCAGCATTGTACGTGTTATTAAATTTACGGAAGTAAATAAAAGAAACATCTTATAACACTTAAAACATATATTTACGCATATACTGTTACTCACAAGACGGTAAATATAAAAACAAAAATGGTAAGTGGTGATCGATTTTGATTGGACACTCCAATCATCATCAGACCCAATAAGCGAATGACAAATGTAAATATGTCATTCGGTCTGATGATGATTGGAGTGTCCAATCAAAATCGATCACCATGTCGGCCTTAGTTACTAACAAGACTACAAGATCGCGCCACTCATCCTACACTCATCCTTCACTCATATTTAGGTTAAAATACGCACATAGTGGCGTCCCCATCTTAAATAATTGATAATTGATAATTGATAATTGAACCACTTACCATCTTTTTTGTAAATTTACCGTCTTGTGAGTAACAGTATAAGTGTAAATATATGTTTTAAGTGTTATAAGACGTTTCTTTTATTTACTTTCCATTAAATCTGAATCCAGGCCTTCCATCTCTGCTAACTTTTGGATACTGAAGTAAATGTCCCTCCTATGAGCCAATTGTAGCAAATTTTAAATCAAATCAAACATATGGATTAATCGATTAATCACTCATAGAACATTATCATTATACTCTGTTCACAAAATGTAGTTGGTATTAGGGGAAGAAATATATCCCCTTCATGTCTTGATTCTACCATCAAAACATCTGAGCTCAACTGCTGAGATTGTTTGTAAAAACATCAATCAGCTGTAACATACATTAAGCAGAAAAAAGTGGTGGGGGAACTTCCCCTCAAACCGCCTACGTTTTGTGAACGGACTATAAGACAGGAACGCACAAAGAGTTGCATTGAAATGAGGTATGACATACTAGTAGCGTAAATTGGCGTAGCGTAGCGCAGCGTACGACCGAGAAACAAACTATTTTGTTTTTCTCAGAGCGTACAGTAGAACCCCTCATATCCGGCCACGGCGGGACCAAGCCCCTGACCGGATAACGATTTGGCCAGATAAACCAACCTACTATGAAAATGACAATTCATACCTAATAATAATAGGTAATCAATATATGCAATCAAAAGTATCATTTAATTCTGTTATGGGGTCATTTTTAGAAAAATAAACATGTTTGTAAAAAGAAAAAAAATTGTAGGTTAAAGTCATTAAGTAATGAATGTACAAATATTACGATTCCAGGTAACAAAACCTATTAAATTTAGGTAAAAATGACAGTAAATTGTACGTACTTAAAGATCATTAGTACTTGAATGGTACATGCATTTCTACTCAACATTCTTAACCATTTTGTGAAATACAAAAATTAATGTACTCGTATTGTACTGTAATAACCCCACTTTGGAAATAATCAATCAACTGATCAGAGGCCTACTAGCTCAACTGAGTATAGTGACTCAGCAAATATATGTATAAACAAACAGATAAATAATGAGAACAATTTATTTTATGACTTGAGCAGTCACAAAGACTAGTGCTTGCATCTAAACGTCTACGAGCTGTGAGAAAAAATTTTGATATTGGCTTCCTGGAAGGGGCCGGATAAACAGAGGACCGGTTATGAGGTATACCAAGGCCATACCATACAAGGTATACCAATACCAAAGGCCGGATATGAGGGGTTCTACTGTATTAGAGCGCATTAGCTGCACACACACTTAATTCTAGACTATTTTCTGCACCAATTTCTCTCCTCCAATTAGTTGTCAGCTTCTCCCAATCATCCTTCATGAAACTAAATATGTAATCGAACGTTGTAGTCAACATTCTTGAGTAATCTATATACCTAGACTCGTGTTTCTTAAGGATTGGAACTAATTGGTGATATTCACCATGTTTGTTCCAGCCTTTACACACTTCATGCACCCCGACACTTCTCCTACTGATCAAAAACTGCCACCTAAAGGTATTTTCGACAAGACTAATACGAGCCGTCTTCGACAGGGCCATCATCTGTACTGATGTACCTTATGAAGACCGTCTACAACAGGGCCGTTCCTAGGGTTGGCTGCGCCCGGAGCAAACGTGGTCGTGGCGCCCCCTCCCCCTCAGCAATAATAGTCGTATTCGCATATTTCAATACTATGTTAATACAAATAGGCGCTGTTGTCCCCCCCTTCGGATGGCCCTGGTCAAAACCTATAATGCACTACACTACGCTGCGCTCTCTGTGTGTTTTGGACTACGCTGTGTTCTGTTACGCTAAGCTGCGTTGCACTACACTACGCTGTCTGCATGTTTCTACACTTAGCTACACAGCCAGTTTTCTGTTTTCTGAAGTACGGAGGTATTCAGCTTCTGACTACCAACCTATACTTACATGTACAACAGTTCCTCCAGCTGATCGTAGAGGTCACGTCGCTGCCTGGAGTGTGTCGTGTGGTAGATAGGAGGCTGACCTAGGGCTGTCTGTGCTACTAAATCACCAAATAAACTACCAACCAACTATACTTACATGTACAACAGTTCCTCCAGCTGATCGTAGAGGTCACGTCGCTGCCTGGAGTGTGTCGTGTGGTAGATAGGAGGCTGACCTAGGGCTGTCTGTGCTACTAAATCACCAAATAAACTACCGACCAACTATACTTACATGTACAACAGTTCCTCCAGCTGATCGTAGAGGTCACGTCGCTGCCTGGAGTGTGTCGTGTGGTAGATAGGAGGCTGACCTAGGGCTGTCTGTGCTACTAAATCACCAAATAAACTACCGACCAACTATACTTGCATGTACAACAGTTCCTCCAGCTGATCGTAGAGGTCACGTCGCTGCCTGGAGTGTGTCGTGTGGTAGATAGGAGGCTGACCTAGGGCTGTCTGTGCTACTAAATCACCAAATAAACTACCGACCAACTATACTTACATGTACAACAGTTCCTCCAGCTGATCGTAGAGGTCACGTCGCTGCCTGGAGTGTGTCGTGTGGTAGATAGGAGGCTGACCTAGGGCTGTCTGTGCTACTAAATCACCAAATAAACTACCGACCAACTATACTTGCATGTACAACAGTTCCTCCAGCTGATCGTAGAGGTCACGTCGCTGCCTGGAGTGTGTCGTGTGGTAGATAGGAGGCTGACCTAGGGCTGTCTGTGCTACTAAATCACCAAATAAACTACCGACCAACTATACTTGCATGTACAACAGTTCCTCCAGCTGATCGTAGAGGTCACGTCGCTGCCTGGAGTGTGTCGTGTGGTAGATAGGAGGCTGACCTAGGGCTGTCTGTGCTAGCTGGAACGGGCTGGGGTCATGAGGAAGTGGGAATATAACATCCAGCTCATGTATAGTAACTAGCTTGATTGTAGGTCCTACAACCACCTCACTGGCTACACCTTTCAGTAGGGAACATGTTAGCTGTGAACATCAAATAATCATTTAGTGGATGACAACTGGTGGCAGCCCAGTTGAAGTGCCAGTCAGATAATTTATAATTCTTTTTTCTTTGTTTGGTTTAAAGAAGTGGTTTCTTTTACCATGCATTTGTCCGTCCACAGAGGCCTGTGAGTGTAGCCTATCCAGCAAAGCAAGAGGTGAGCCAGTACAGTACAAGGGTGAACTTTACTGATAAAAAGTTGTAGTAGTGACCAGAATCCGAACCCACGACATCGCTGCCTTGGGCCCAAAGTCTGCGATGCTACCAAATGAGCCACCGACTTACCAAGTCAATAACTAAAAAGTTCTTTGTTCCAGAATTATAAAATAAATTGTATTCATGAAGTCAAGCTGTACAATGGTTAAATAAACATCTCTAATTCCTTAAGTAATATGTACAAAATAGTTTGACTGTTAAGTATTTTTTTTTTTACATTTTCCTTGATGTAAGCACTTTTCTGACACTATGGAGATTAAAACTTTTCCATTTAGTTAACTGATAGCTAAACTAACTGCTTTTGGATTTCATCATTTTACCTCACTTTTGTTTATTTCAATACCAAATGTGACAGATTTTAAATACACTTTGAATTTTCAGTAGCCTGATTCAAAACTAGTTAAAAACATGAACTTACCGTAAATATCTTGTAGAAATAAAATTATAATAAGTTAATGTCAGCAAAAACTATTTCAAACTTACCACAAACGCAGCCTTGTTTGGAAAACTGAGATATCTTTTTTGTCTCTTGTTGGTTGGAAGATTTTCACCTAGAACAAGCTCCGAACACAACAAAGAAACAAACAGGCAAACAAATCTGTAGGAAACCATTGCAATGATGGAGCCCAACTGTTCATTAACACTAACTGAAGGTGCTAAGTAGCACAGTACCTTACGGTTCTGTCTATTTAAATTAGTAAGGTGACTGTTAATTATTAACAAGTTGTTACCAAATCTACATAATCAACATCTTGTAATATCTCTGTAATTATGTAAAAATGATGAATCCGTGAATAAATAAATTCATTGAAAACTGTACCATAAATTACCAATAATGTATATAGGCTGAAACCAAGTAGAAAAGCTTTTATGTACTACACTGCATCGCTTCACCAAAACTGTTTCGATAATTATCACAGAAGATAAGTATAATCAATGGCAAGCGGTCTGTAGGATATAAACTCTTCGACCAGGAGACGAGAGACAACACCATAGATTTAAGAGCTTCATCTCCTCTCAGGTGTACTAACTCATGGGAAATTTACCTGAATTTTTGAGTATGAGTATATCAACGTCTTAAGCATTTTTTAAACTGTTGCATGAGAACAACTCAAACCTTTGAGAGCACTAAGTGGCAGAGGCCCGCCCGAAATCAATGGACAGTTTCAGTGGAAATAAACAGGATAGGTGGATTCCCAGTGAGCATAGTGAGGTAATTTTCACCTTATCCTCATGTTGTGTGTGTGTGTTGAACCAAAAACTATGTTAGAAGAAATTGGGGTTTGGGCCCAACTAACTTAAAATAATTCATCTTTGAATGACACTCCAAGCAACTTGGTCATTGCAAGATATTACTTTGGTGGAAACTTTGCATTTTACGAAACTGTTTTCAAGCAAACATTTAAAATTTACAAGAGGATCTGTTGTTTAGGTAGATGATATGATGGGTTTTTTCATAATAGCCAAAACAATCACCATTCACCATTGAGGCCAACTGGTAAACAAGAGTATAAATGGTGAGAATAAAATTGTATGACGCTTAATACACATTTAATATAAAATTACAATCACAAAACACTGATTATAAAAATACCTTATTCAATATTCATACACATAATGTTTATGGTGTAAACATAAACATAAAATAGTGTCGTCACATAAAATGACAATAAATAATCTGAAAAATATAATTTGTTTGATTGTTATAGCTGCAGGATTTGTGTTGCTATCAATTATTGTGATAAGTCTCTAAAGTGGTTAGATTATTGCTGTATGAACAGTAAAGTTTGTTGATTGTTGCTGTTGGTTGTGATGAATCTCAAAGTCCTCATAGGTCAGGTGTTGTCATCGGAGTATTTTCTCTGATCTGAAGTCCCGGTGAAGTCCAGATCCAAGATTGAAGTAGGGCAAAGTGTTTTGTACTTAGCACAACTATTGTGATGAGCTTCGTCATAAACACTAGAGAAATCCTCTTCTGTGTCGTCGAACAATGGAAGCCTAAAAGAAAGCACTGATAAGTAGACATGGTATAGTTTCTAGAGGTGGAAGTGACCTCAATCTCAAATCAATGATGCATCTATTGCTTTGAAAATTGCAAGACAGATTGTACATAACACAAAGGTAGATTGTGTAACCAGCAATGCAGATGACAATTTCCCAAAAGAAAAAATACACAGTAACCAATAAAAATAAAACTACACTATACAGTACCAGAATGTGATGAAAATCTCTTATTATTTTTACTGAGCGCATTTAAATGTGTGCTATTTAATTTCATGAGTGTGTGATCGATTTACTAATTTTGTTATTCTTTAGGGTTAAGTTAAGGGTTTTGTAACAAGCGAAAATTCATGATTGGATACGGTAAAAAGGTTTTAAGTTAGCTTCCCCAAGAAAGTTAGAGTCCAGCCCCAGATGCTAATAGATACACAAGTCACAAAAACATAACACTGACATTTCATCTTCTTTTTCAGAGAGTAGTGTGAAGAGAAACGGAAAAAAATATTTGAAACAAATTTTGGATGGAAAACAGTTTTTGTAAACTTAAGTGACAAATTATTAAACTTTTTTGGACGTAACATACTTGATATATTTAATTATACAATTTTAAATTAGATGCTAAGGGATGAAATTGATTACATTGTGTTAAGTAAATTCCCAAGATAAGTAGTTACTTACGAGAAAATAGAATGGAATATTTCTTCCATAAATGTTCCATTGCCTTTTGTCCGTTCTCTTGATTCACAAATTGCTCTGAGAATACACCCTCTTCCACTCACTCCATATCTGAAAAAAAACTATAATTTTACTAATTGTGTGGAATGTTTTGAACTACACTCAACCCTTTCAATGTTATTTAGTGTATAAGAACTGTAGATTTTTGAAGTAAAGATGGTTGTTACTATATTACTAAAAGAGGTTAAGTAGTAGTATATCACGTTACTAGTCCTGAAAATAAGTGTTTCCTGGACAAGTGTGGTCGTTCCCGTGCGAGACGAAGTCGAATGCGGGATTACCATATGAGTCCGGTAAACACATTTTGGACGAGTGACGTACGATATTTTACGCCATACTAGATACTAAGCAAACTTAACAACAACAAATTTGTACAGATCCTAATATATTCCCACGGACTAAAGGACTAACAATTTTAAGTGAGGTCATGTTTTTGTTTATAACCACTCATTTCCAAATATAATCAGCTGGTTGGTGTCTGGTAAAAACTCATTACAGTACAGTAGTACGTAAAGAAACATCATTTGATTAAGCTGACGGCAAACAGCGGTTTTCTTGACTAAATCCTTGAGTGGGAAGTTCGTTAAAACAGTGTAGTGCGGCATAAAACAATTACCGGTACTTACTGTCATAGAAATAATCAACCAATTGTTTGTAGTTTACACATACTAGCTTTACTAAGTAGTGAACACAGTAAAATATAAACAAATAGATCAACTGTTACACAACAATCAGAGTGCTTAAGTCGCGAAGGTTTGAGGATGCAACTACGCATCTGTTAGCCGTGGGAAATACATTCTAAAATTGGCTTCCAAGAAATAACCGGATAAACCAAGGAGTGGGAAAACCAAGGCCGGATATCGCAGGAGTTCTACTGTATAAAAATTAGTTCTCGTAATTTAGCAAAAACCAAATCAGCTCACTTCACACTAAGTTACTATATCTAGCATGATGTTGCTTTTAAGACATGCCTGATGCCAAAAATGGGGAACTAAAAAATTAAAATTATATTTTGGATCAAACACTTACTTGTCTAAAAAAGTCTCAATCTTGGGAAAGAGATCTCTTCGGTGGCGACGATGGACGAAAGACATTGTTGCATTCCGTAGGAAAGGTCTGGGGTCTTGAGGTATCTCCCACGCAAGTCCGAGGGTTATGCCGATGGTAAATAGACCTCCTGGGGTACCATAAGCAGTGGTTAGGAAGCAGTAGACCATCTGTAGCAAAACATATCAATTGTGTTGGAATTTTACATGTCAGGGTAATACAAGGCCAGTCCTGGTAACACTAACGAGCTAGCTATAGAGTACATTGAAATTTTAGAGTTTGTCAAACATGTAAATCAGAAGGTGAAGGGGTTGGGGTAAAAGTAGCTTTTTGATGGGACAGGACCCAGATGTCCTTGATTGGGCTTTTAGTAAATGGTCCTGTATAAATAAACAGCTGATCATATTAACAGTAACAAAGCTACCAACGTCACACTCCTTTTTCATTCATAGTTAAATTATGCCTTAGTAGCGTCGCTATCTTTGCAATAATGTTACACCGAATGTAATACTATTTTTTTTAAGGAACAGCTTAAAGGTTACCTGTAGTGAGCTTCCTTTTGGGAAAATAATAAACCTTTTCCTCCTTGACACAACTTCATTCGTCTCAGAAGAATTCTTCGACGATTCTATTATTTGTTGTGTTGAAATCAATGATGTCATCAGGATTATTAAAACAAGGTGGAAAATCTTCAAATAATTTTTCTGAAAAAGATGTGGACACAATAAATAACAAAATTACCAGCTAAACTGTATAAATAAAACACTGTGGAAAAAACTGTAGCTAAATGCACACAAGTCTAAAATTCTTAAAAGTAAAAATAAAAAATTTTTGAACTTATTTTAAACTGAAAAGATACTTACCATGGTACTGAAAAAATCCAAAAATAATTCAATGATTTATAAGATCAACAATAGATAAGTTTCAATGGAATTACACAACGGTACATGATGGGCAAAGTTGAACGACTGGGCTCTAGAGAGTTAGTGCTCGGGTGTTAAAACAGTTACGTGAAAATTACTGAAGCCTGAGTAACGGAGATGAAATACAGTTCTAGACGTTGAGGAAAAACAGTTCAATAATTGCAATCGTAATACCTACTCAAATTTTAGGTTTAAAGGTGTATTATGAGTCTTAGATTTCAAGCCACATTTGAGTAAATTGGTTTCTGGTATTTTACCTGTAAGGTGTTTAAGAGTTTATGTTACAAACTAAAGAACCGGTTACTTTGGTAAAAAAAGGTTATCATTATGTAACTAGGGATTTTATGTTACTCAGTATATGAGTCGAAAGGGGATTTTTACTACTAAATAACTTGTCTTTTTGAAATTATTTACTTAAATAACTACACATATTCATATACATGCACATTTAATAGTTTCAAACAATTGTTTAATGAAATCCCAACAAGCATTTTATGTTCATACTTCAAACAGAGAAATTTAGTTATTAGCTTTTATGTTAAAACAATTTTATATTTAAGTTTTTTTTATCTAATATCTAATACCTAAATTTGTATCAAAATCAAAATTAATCAGTCTTAAAGATGTTATAATCATTTAAGTGTGCATTTTTTGTGTGTCATTGGCAAACTTATTTATTTTTTAATGCAGACTCTTCTTTTTAATTTACTTTCAAAAGAAAGATTTTAAAAACGTAACTGTAGTTTTGAATCACTGATAGGTTTTGATTCAGAATAGTTTAGTAATTTATTTGTGTTTATGCTTTGAGTTGTATTGGTGAAACTATAAGATTTTAGAACTAATAAGGTTTAATGTTACCTGGCTTCAGTCTACGATCCACAGTAGATTTAGGGAACTACAGCTGTTTCATGCCTCTATTATTGGCACATCATCAGGTTTGTTGAACACCAAACCTTATACATCCCTCGGTGTCGAGTTCGGTTTTAGGATGAACATGAAGACACTTACACACACGAAACATTTTAAACATTAATTATGTTCAAACGGTCGACGCAGAGGGTCAACCAACTGCGAAACGTGATACGGCGCCGAGGGATGTTTAAGGAAGCTGGTGTTCAACAAACCTGATGATGTGCCAATAATAGAGGCACGAAACAGCTTTAATTTCCTAAAACTACCGTGGATTGTAGACTGAAGCCAAGGAACATAAACCTTATTAGTGCTAATTTTAACGATCCAGTGGTCTGATAAATTTAGTCTGATCTATTTAGTCTGATATTCATCAGGTGAAAAGACGGATAACTATATAGCCTAAGGAAGCAATGCCGTTGGTGATGTTGAAAAGGTAAAATTGACATTGTGTCATTGCTTCCTTTACCTAATAGAGTACTAACATTAACAAGCCAATAAAGAGTAAAATTTTAAATATTTGCAAGCAAAAGAATAAGAAGCTGGAAACTCCTATATGTTCACGCAATATAGCCATTCTCGCAGCATGCTACAGAATCAACCTTTGTTGATAAAGGTGTATGCGTAAAGACAGGAATTGATTTAAAATTCGCAAGTGCTCACTCATTAACTTACATCACTTGATTTTTACTTATTGAATTTTTATGATGAATATTTTACTTGAAATAACTAAATCATTTTACCAATAAATTGGACAAGAAAGAATTAATTAAAATCAAGTGTTTCTTCCGTAGGACTATTCCATATAAGAGGGTCGATTTTTAAGGGCCGTTTTTGCGTATAGCTCCGTAGTTTGCATGTATGCTGTAACTAAGCACCTTGCCACTTTTGTGAACAGAATCTCACAACTTCAACACAAGTTTTTTTTTGCTTTAACTGACGTGTAAGTTTCACTGTGCGCATAGAACATTTTTTACAATTATAGGATATGCCACCAATTTGTTTAAAGCCTTATTTCACATGTGACTCGCGAGAGACACATTGTTTACTATAATCAGTGATACGTTTTTTGACAAGTAACATATCCAATGTCGATACCATTTTGTCTAACAATCAGAAAGTTGTGAGTTTGAATTTGAAAAAGGCAGTTGTTTGACCCTGAACCTAGCAGTTGTTCATTGGATTTTTTATTAATGATGCTGACTAGAAACAGCTAATCTAAGTCAGTAAAAAAGCTACACAGGTCATCTCACTCTATTCTACACCAAGCCTGTATTCATATTCTGCTTAAGATACAAAAAAAAAACTCTCTGTCTTGGTAAATTGGGCTGCACTTTACTTGACGTCCTACACTCATTCGATTGTTTTTTCGATTTGATATTTTCATTCGATTGTTTCATTCGATATATCGTTTGGTTAGTTAGGTTAGGTTAACCTTACCTAACTAACCAAACGATATATCGAATGAAGCAATAGATTAATCAATATATCGATCGATATTTTCATTCAAATGAGTGTAGGACGTCAAGTAAAGTGCAGCCGTAAATTGATCAATGATCCTTTAGCTATTTAGCTATATTAAGCTGGGGTTTTCTTAGGCACTAAACCGGAGAGTACAGTCCGCTCTCTTTAATGGTACTGAATCCTAAAGGCGGAGCAGACCGCCACTGGACGAGCGGAAAATCACTTCCCCGCTTTCCGCTTCCGCACCTAGGAAAACCCAGTTTTATGTAAAAGTTAAAGTACAATCTTAAGAATCCTATACGTTTTGGCAAAGGTATAATTAAGGTTCCACAACAAACAAATAAACCGTTATTTTAATAATCAATCATGAATCCATTGTAGACTTTTCTTCACAGCTGTCAAGTTGTGTGTCCTGATAAAGCATGGTCTAGAAGATGCAGCAAAGACACAGGGCAATCCACTTCCTCAGGACAACCGTAGTTTGCATTTTCCGTAGAGCTAAAAAAGAACGTCACAGATTTGTTCATTTGTTTACTATTTTTGTTCCTTGATAGTTGATACCTTTTTTGTTATACTGTAGCAAAAACTGCTTTTTTAAATGTGTTCCCAAAAGAATAAGCTATACTGGTTAGTAAAGAACGTCATTTTGCGATTAAGTTTGCTGAAATAATAGCACAGTAAAAAATATTGCTCATTACATGGCATGGACCAGAGGTTTATTTTTTAACCTCACTCATTTACTACTAAACTTTAGCTTGAAAATGGTTACTTTAAGCAATAGTGGTGAATGTACTATTAACACTATCTGAACAAATTTAAATTATCAAATTGTTAACAATAACGTTTCATTAGGTACTACAACCATACAACACACTAAAGCAAAGATGGTAAAATGCAAACAAAAATAAAAGAGAGACATTTTGTTGTCAACAGCACACTCAAAATGTAACTAAAAGTAAGTGAAAAATAGGTAAAAAAAGAGGCTTCAAATGTTTACAATGAGATGAAAAATCTATTCAACTGTTCAATGCCAAAGCTTAACATTCAAAATAAATTGAGAATCAAGGAAATAGGCCTATTGATGTGTAATTTCTATTGGTTTGAAAAAAGTGTATTTAAATTGTATTTTCACTTACTTAAACACAAGCCTTAGAATCTGGCTGATGACATCGTCTTGGTGGATTAAGCTCACTTCACAAAACACTCTGGTTAAGCAAGCTGTCCCGTTCAATCCATGCCTGCAAATGAATAAAACTATGATAAATAAAGATTGATGGATGGAAATTTTCAAAAATCAACCATGTTTATGATACAATTCGAATTCAGTTTAGTTTTGAATGCCTTTGAGATACATAAAATCACTAGCATACTTTAAATAACTTGCAACTTTAAATTATTTAAGAAACAAACAAATTTACCAGTAATTGAAAAAGTTATTTTAACAAATAATTGTTTAGCGTAGTAATAAATATTCTATGCTCTGTGATAAATACTCGTTAGTTTTAAATTGAGGATTCTTTTAGCGAATTTCCCATATAGGGAATAAGCTATTACCGTAGGTCTCATGGTAAGACCTGGACTCGGGACCGATTTACTTTTTCATTTTGATGTCCCTAGAGGCCAAAAACACCATCCGTTCAAATTCATATATATATATATATTTATATATTTATATATATATATATGTGTCCGTCAGCACGATAACTCGAACAAAAATTATCAGATTTTGATGAAATTTGGTATAAACGTGTAAACCTACATTTATTTGAACGAGTTCGCGAACCAGCATGATCGGACCATGGGAACAGGGGTTAATGGGGGGTTTTATGGGGTAAAAATGGGTTTTTCCCATTTTTGACCCTAAAAACATAAAATTTTGGAATTTTTTTCGCAACCATTTTGTATAGCTTAAAAAAGTAAATAATTTAGTATATTGAAGCATTGTTGTACGCCTAATGGTTACGGAGAAAATTCAAAAAAGTGCAAATTTAAAATTCCCATGTTATTCTTATGGAGAAAATGAAACTGTTGTGGTTTACTTGTTTATGGATATATATTGATAAAATTTGGCAAATTTATTTATTTCATCCTATACTATTGACTTATGGTCGAAAAACCCTTTTTACCTTCCCTGTAGCAGCAAACCTAAGCACTCGTTAAATCTAATGTTATTTAAATTGAGAATAAATATGTCTTATATATGGAAATATTTTAGTAACAATGTAATCAGACAAGTTGAAATTCGCTTAGTCTGCAGGTTTGCTGCGGCGGGGGTATTAATACTTTGTGATGTACCGGTAGTCCTATAATTTTTTACATTGTTTTCGATCTTATAAACTACTAATGTGTCATTGTTTCCTTATTGGAAGACCAGAATTTACCCAAGGGCAGAAAACGTTATTTGGAGTTTTTATTTGTATTTTTTTAAAGCTCAGCAAGCTCCATGAGAAAATCGGAGACCAGTTACTTAATAGATACACAACACTATGTTATTCTTGTAAGTACTGTTTTTAGAGTGTTAGCCTAGTACGCAATGTTAAAAAAAAAATCTATTTTCAGAAAGGTCAGAGGGGCTTTCTGATGGTTCGTACTGGACTCAGCTGGTCTTGATAATTTTTGGATTTAGTAAGTGGCCGTGGCTGAAGAGTCAGCTGTTCTTGGTCAGAAACAAAGCTGTCCTCAAATTTTTCTACATTTATCCACTCTTATTTTTAACTGATGTTGTCACTGAAGGGCACACTCATGTTTCAGCGTCATATACAGTATTGAGTGAAAATCATTTTTAATTAAAACTAACATTTCTCATTATACTATTCCCTCATGTCAAATAGGCCTACTCCTACTAAAAATTAAAAACTTTAAAAATCGGAGAAAATTATATCTTTAGTCATTTTGCCATGGCCAATTTACGTGATTACAGTATTTTTTTTAAGGTAAATGCATAATGTAATACGAAGTGCTAATGATCTAATGTGGTTATAGAACAAGCCTCCGGTTCTGTAAGCTCAGGTTCTACTCCCATCATTGTTAATAGTTGTGTAATAAAACCATGAACAGCTGATTTTTCCCCTAATTTTCCATTCAACTATCAAGAGCACAAAACAAAAAATCCCTGTCAAGAACATACTTTGTTCTGTTGAACTCTCCACTAAAATCCATAGATAACCAATGTAATAGAAGTACCCCCGGTAAGGATGAAATTCTCAAATTGTCAAGGAACAGATAGAAATTAACACAGATAAGTAATTATTTGTTAGAATACTTACCAATCAAAAGCCCCTTGCACTGCACTATGGATAGCTCTCTGGTAGTATGATGCTGGGTAGTATTGATACTGGGTACTTTGATACCTGTTGTATGGAATATTCCCGTATTGATTGTAAACATAGCTGCTCGGATAGTTTGGGTAGTAAGAAACAGCTGGTTGGTCTACTTTCTTCTTCGGCCGGATAATAGTTGAAGGTTTGATTTCCCAATTTCCTCGAAATCCCATGGCAAAAGCAAATATCGAGGTGTAAGGAACTACATTTACTTTCACGTTGTAACGTACCTATAAAAAACATAAAAAATGGCAAAAGTACTTTCCATCATTAGCAAAAATAGAAGGATTATTCAATACATGTGTTGGAAGTCGTTATTTTTATTCCCTAAGTAATAAATCAGCAGGATTTAAGGTCATCAGCTGTACATTTCTTAATACTTAAGTTAAATGTTAATAGTAACTTGGTAACAGCTGTTTGTTGAAAGTAGCAAAAAACAGATTCCCAAAGAGTCACTTTTGGCAGTAATAAAACATACTAGTTTATTATGTTCAAAGTTTTTATAATAACCATTACTGTACATCAAAGAACAGTGTGAGGTCCAAATACAGTAATAGTAAAATATCAAAAAATATTGTTGGTATTACTCTGAAATTAAAATACAAAACTCTACCAAATCATTAGCGCACTAGGGACAAACAGATAAAACATTAAAAAGTCACAAAACACAATAAATGTTTATCCTAGTGTGTGACTGTAAAAGAAAGGATTTTATTGGTCCACTTCGACAAAATCTGAGTAATATTGAAAGATTTGTTTCTTTCTCCATAAAACACCAGAACTATTTTCTTCCGAACTCTTAACTCCTAAATCATCCACATGAATATCTCTTAAGGTATAATTTACTTACAAAGACTTTCATCATTTTACGGAAATCCAACAATCGTCTTTTTGATCGAGCGGCACAGTTGTGGTCGATCATTGATAGTGATAGAAACACAAACAACAGACTTGAGAAGTTCATTGTGAGTTCGTTAAACTCTGTCTTTACACAGGCCGAGCCAGGCCCTGTTATGCTTGTCCGCTAGATCACATATTGGTGATAATTGTTGAGTAAAGAGACTGCAACAATGTTTTAAACCTATACACCTTGCATGTCTTATATAACTCTTTGTTTGAAGTTCATTGTTGGTGATGGTGAGTTAATGTTGTTCAAAGGTTTATTGCGGACATTTTCCATCACGAATGTAAAAAACAATACACAACGGGAACAGAAGACGGGATCAGATTCCAGATCCCGAAACGTTGTGTATTGTTTTTTACATTCGTGATGGAAAATGTCCGCAATAAACCTTATATAACTGTTGTAATCTTGTTGTATCCAACAGTTGAGTACATTATGCTAATTGAAAAGCAAACAGAAGTAGAATTTTAAAAGATAAATATTCAAATACTGATGAAGGTTGACATCTACTGTATTTTCAATAAAAGGTGGTTTTTGTACGATCTGTGTGTTTAGTTTATTCTGGGTGAAACCTAAACTATTAATACTACCTGGTTGAAATTTTACACTGAGGTAAAATTTAATTCTAAGCCAGGCCACCAACACATCGGCTTATAGTAGGACTATAAGCCGATGTGTTGATGGAAACCACTTTGCGTCACACCCTGTTAACATCCATAGTTTTTAAGTTTCGGAATTAAATATTGATTGGTCTCCATGTCAATAAAAATCCACAACCATAAATTTTGCACTGTTTACATTAACTTTGTATTTTGGATGTTATATTTTAATAAAAAAAGTATAAAGTATAAGTTATTCATTTGTACTCTGTCACACATCTTATTGGATCTACAAAAGACAATTTTACAAAATTAAGTGGAACAGTTGACTTTATTTCTATATTTAAATTTGGATGACAAACCTTTTCACAGCAGATTTAAAGAATAACTTTGCTTTCTTATGTTGTATTGCCGAAAGGGCCAAAATAGGTTACAAAAAATTTAAAAACAAACTATCCAGTTTTATAATGTACTGAAAAACGTTTCTTGAGAATTCATCATACACAAAGACCAAAACTCATCTTTGTTTTAACTCTTTTAGACCTCAAAATTGTCTTCATTTTTTTCTAACAAGATTTGTTTACTAACAAAGTATAATTGTATCTATGAATCAAGTTATCAATGTATTAACATTTTTATGGTTATAAATGAACTTCTCAGATGTCACCAAACAAAAATAAATAAAAGTATTTTAATACTTTGCACTTAAGAAAAAAAACTGGATCTAAGACAGGGTTTTGAATAAATCACAAACATGTTAAGAATCATTAGCTGTGTTGTATAGAAGATACATTCACAAAAATTAATTTAAAACAATTTTTATCGAGTTAAAAAAGTTTCAGAACTAATTTTAGTAAGATTGCAGCATCGATAAATTCTTTGCAACTTCGTAACACAATATATAACAATAATTATATTTAAGCTGGCTTGCTTAACATGCGCTGAATTGGCAGTATTTACAACAACAGAATAGAAACAAAACAACAAAACTTGCCATAAAAAGGACCTAATCTAGCTCAATCATTAATATTTGTACAAATCATTAAATTCATAAATAAATTACACAAAGAACTTAAAAACTAAAAGAATATCAATCCAGAGGAAAAAACAAAATGAAAGTTTGTGCTGAAATTACAAAATAAACACTTTTCATAAAAAATATACTCTTTCAATAGCTAAGGCTACGAATTGCTACCATCTTAACGTGTTTAATTCTGTAATTTCAAAAGCAACTATTTCCATTTTGTTCTTTTTGACAAATACCTTAAATTTATGTTCTCTTAATTTTACTGTACAACTAAAAAATAGCTGCTTTCCCCAAAGACCTTTACCCTTGGAAGATTGTTAAAACAGCGAGGAAGAAGAAAAAGAGGAAGCAGAATTTTAAATTTTCAAGGGTTAAATAATACAAAGGGTTAAAGAAAATGTCTAAGCAATCTTAAACATAGATCCAACATTTAAACAACAACATAACAGTTAGAAAGGAAGGAGAAATACAACGAAAGAATCTAAACCTAGTGTGCTGTGCATTTAGGCCTTTTTGGACAAAGTATAAGGACACATATCTGAAAAACATACAGAACCATTGAATTTCAGTAAGAAAAAGTAAATATTAAGTTTAGCACCAAGATAATGTGAGCACAATTTAAAACCTAGTTAAAAATTCATCGATTAAAATTAGTTGTTAACCTGTTTCTAGGAACAAATACGCTGATAAAGTAGCACGATTTTGATTGTTTCTAATAATAAATAATTAAATTGTCAATAGAAATACTAAACAATCTATAAAACTGTGAACACTCCAAGTCTGTCACTAAGTACACAATATTGCTTGGATTAAATTTATTGCTATTGGTGAAACTCTAAAACCAATCGTACTGCAGGAACAAATAATCACACTCCCATAAAACTATACTTCAACTTTGTATAAATCAAAAGCGTTCACTCGTACTAATAATTCAAATAAACAAATTAAACTTCTAACTAAAATATCGTTTCTAACATAATGAAAAGGAAATTTTAATTCGGTTGTGAGATTTTGACTAAAGCTCATTCGGTATACTCTTATCCCGATTTCTACCACTTCTGATCTAAAATAATCTTATGTATACTAATAGTGACTGTAGTTATTTCTGATGAAAAAGCTGTGATCAGAAACTTAATTGTATTATTGTATGAAGCTTACAAGGACAATTTTTTTAACATCCTCAGTGAAGTAATAAAAACAAAGGAAATTTTAGAAGAATCCATCTGTTTTAAAATCTAAATCTTCTTCAGATATGTTTGATGACAAGTAAGCGTACAGGACATTCTATGTTCCTCCCTCAAGCAGTGCTTTGCTTGTTATAATCTGGGGATAAATATTAGTTTTCAAGAGGGTCATTTGTTTTTTCTCATACTTGGTGGAATTACAATAAATAAAGAGTAACATAAAAACACATTCTACATGAGACAGAAACATTGAACTTCAACTGATCTATAAGGATGACTTATTTTATGAGTAATGACTATGTGTAACCTATGATTTCAGTCAAACATAGTCATAATTTCCTTTGTATTTATCACTTCTCATGTTTCCGCTTACAATGATTCTACATTTAGAGTACTGGTCATGTACATGAAATAATTAATCTCGACACTTGTATTTTCAATAGAGTTGGAGGTATCCCTGTTGAAGAAAGATTTTTTATACCGTTATTCATATTCAGGCCTATTCTTTATTCAGTGAATATTTTCAACTAAATAGTACCAAATCGGGAAATTTAATTCGTAAATGGCACTGGAATTAGTAATGATATTTTCTCATATTTTATTTACATTCCGTTAGTCACTAAATACAGGGTACACATGAAAATAAAGTACCCCAAGCCAAAACCAAGGATGAAACCAAATGTGCTCAAAGACTGTCAGTAATGTTTGAGTGAGACGTTTTATTTATATTTTAAGTTTATTTTAATTTTACTTTATTAAATTTTATAATAATTCCAACCAAGTGTAATGATCTGTTTGTAAACTACAGTAATCTCCCAAAACAAAACAAATACGGGGCCCTGTACAGATTATAGCATGAAATGCTCTGGTGTATTGCTTGCCCTCTTGAGCACGTATTGTAAATTTAAATTTAAAATCAGAGAAACAATTTCAATGAACGTCAAAACACTCAGGCTTAGCCAGGAATGAAACAAACGTTAACATAATTTTAAGGTTTTCCCCATTAAGATGAGGAATCTACTTTCAGGATATATAATCAATGGTCAAACATAAATGTAACTGCCATTCCCACAAAAATATTGAATCGCAAAGTTATGGTTACCCTAAATGTTTTACCTTCATTTATTTCTATATTTCATCGATTCTATATTCATCAGACAATGGTTGTTTTAAGGACTACACTTTGAAACGGACAAAATTGTTAGAGCGTAAACATACTTTTTCTCAACTAAAAAAACATCCAACTCTATTAAAATTTGTCAATACAAGAGTAAATCTTCAAATACCCAAACAGAAACTTCACAAATAAAACTAAACTTATCAGAAATTTCATATAGGTACCAGTTTATCATAAGTAAAGTGGAAAATGTATAGCAAAAAATATTTTACTTTGTATTATGCTTGCACCATTTAGGTAAAGGTAGAGATAAAAAATAAAACTATTTAGTCACTTGTTAAAACATAAAATTACAAAAATATGCACCTCTGTCATGCGAGAATTTGGTAAACAGTTTAACGTATAAAAATACACTCTCTAATACAAAGATGTTGTTAAAATTAAGACCAGTAAAAATAAAAGAAATTTTATTTTATATACAGTGAAGTTGTATAATGCCCTTGGTTTTAGTTAATTAAATTAGCACTATTGATAATTATGTGACGATTAACATAAAATTAAATTAAAATCATACTTGATATCTCGATTCACTAAGGTGTTGTTAAACAACAGGATTCACAATTTTCAAACAAAATTTACATTTAGTTAAGCACATTGTTTTACAGAAACAAATACGATTTGATTAAAGTAACACTTCAATAGAAAACTAATAAATTCATACAATGTATTGAGCAAATGTTTACACTCAGCGCAAGACACACAGAACCGAAGTGAAATAACACGATGTCGCAGTGTAAACCATGGTGCGAATGTGACATGTTCTACCAAAAAATTAAAAGCTCTAAGTTGGCAGTTCAATGTTATGAACTTGTCAACTTTTAAAAATAAATCCGATCAATTCTTGTGTTTCTCATATTTAAAAAATTCAAACTGAAAATTTTTTATTTAGTTTCATAAAGCTCTTTTTTAGTGATGACATTTTTTTACTCAATTTCAAACAATTGTATCAGTTGTTAAAACTCATTTTGTAAGTGAACAAAATTGTCATGATAGTAAAATTAAACTTTTAAATTGACACGAATAATAAAGCGAAGACAACAAAAAGCAAATAATTGCAGCTGTAAATTAATTAAACTTTTATTTTTTGATGTAATATTACACTCTTAGCAGAGGGTGTCTACCAGTTCTGTTGAAGATGATTTATCTGTAATAGCGTATTTATCTATCAGAATAAATTTCTTGACTCCAGAAATGAGTTGAGCACAAAGTAAATGATAAGTTTTTTTTTTACTAAATTCATCAAGTTATAAAGAAAAACTATATTATATTTACATTTTTGCTTTTAACTAGAGGATGAATAAACTACATTTACATTTTTAAACATTTCTTTACTTTGTACAAGAAAATCAAGTGATTTAGAATTCTTTTTGATTTAAATCAATAAATTTCAGTAGCCTCTAGAAAATTCAGTAACTTCTGAGACTAGGGGTGCGCGGGCCAGACAAGAAATTTAGCTTTTATGTTGTAAGCCAAAATCGATTTACTCAGGAAATCATTGATTTGAAACCATTTTAACCTTAGTGCTACAACTAGTTTAAACAATTTCGTAAGTAATCTGTGTTTCTGGCAAACTCATGAACATCTTCCGTTGTCACTGTGGAATTGTGAACCTATTTTGGGAACCGAGGTAAAACTGTGAACATCTTCCGTCACTAAAAAATCGTGAACATCTTCCATCATCACAGCAAAACTATGTACATTTAATAACAGTTGCTTTCTGTGACAAAAATAAATGCTCAGTTCGATTTGAAAATCGAGTCGTTCTAAGTCCTCTAGCATTAATAATCCAATTTGAGCTTGGCTCAAACATTATTTTTGGTCTGGACCAATCCATTGAGCCAACTTTTGACCCAACTCGACCACAGACCTCTATCAGTGATTTCAGTATCCATTACCCTCACGTAAAATCAGCAACTTTTCAATGATCTCGAACGGTAGACACCCTGTCTAAGTACCAAGAAATAATATTTCCATAAATAGTTTTCAATTGAAAAACATGTTAAAGCTTTACACCCCTACATTTGAGATCAGAAGTTGATTTCACTTCAGCCGAAGCCGTCCGTCGCAAGCACACTCCTATTGGCGAGGTCTGTCGCGACTGTGATGTCAAACTAAAACAACCTAACCTAGCAGCTAAGTAACCAAAATACATATCAGAGTATAACATTTTATATATATTTCATATTTGTACGCACATTCAAATGTAGTAAAATAGAAAAACTATTTTTCAATCTGAAGACACAGAACTTGATTACATTGTACAAAACCGTGCTTGGCAGGATTTTAAACAGAATGTGTAAGAATATTATATAATGAAATTCTTAGAACTCAGGAAATGTAGATTTGAGAATTCTACAAGTTTTTTTAACCAAGTTTAAATCTGTGATTGGTAAAATAAAATCAAAATTTGGATCTCAATAACAAAAACTGTAAAGAAATGATTTACTAACTACTACGATTGTTAATAGTTGTTGATAGTAATCTTGTATGTACTGCTAAAACTCGAGATCTAGTTATAATAATAATAAACTGAATTTACAAGTTAATGCTCTTTTTTTGCTTAAATTTTAAAATTAAATCCCTGTTTGAGAAGCATATATCCTATATTTTACCGCACACAGTTATACTTTTTCACTACTCAAATGGATTCCCAAATTTCCTTCAAAAGGACTCAGAAATTGAAAATCTTAACGTCAATATAGTGATTAAATGCCAAATTATTTTTAGAGGTTGGCATCCTCTTTTTTAAATATTGTAATTAAGTACTTTTTATTCTTTACGATATTTATAATTTTGTTTATTTTATTCTTTTTATCTTTATATTTTTATTTTATAATTCTGTAAAACAAGACTTCTTGGACACCACTGAACTAATTAAGTTATCATTAAATAAACAATTGGGAGACTTTGGAATCAAAGACTTTGACAAAAATGTGGCTAAACTGCTAAAAAGAAAACCTAGCGATTTACAGATTATAATACAAAACATTGATGTAAGCCTAATTTCTAGAAAGCATTGCCGTTGCTGTCTTACTATTCAATTTGAATATTTCAAGGGCTGAACCTTAAAAAACCTAATCTAACCTTACCTTGTATTTTATCAAAGAAACTACTTCTAATTCTAAAAAAATAATTCACGATTCAAATTAAATAAAACTTAAGTGGCATAGAGGTGCTGTTGTAAAAATGTAATTACTAGTGTCCTGGCGTCTTAGGAAGTGTGGATTCGTAAAGTGTTGACGTCACAAGTTTATTATTCTGCATCGATCCCAAAGTGTGCGTTTACGTTGATTCTGAAAGTCTGTGTCAATAACCAAAACATTCTCAGATTGCATGTAGCTTTACAGTAAAATAATCTATTGAGAGATCCAACTACAATTAAGAGGTTTAGAGTTCCATTTAAATTTATTTAGATATTATTTACGAGTAGGTGCCAATAGGAACCGATGAGATTTTTATATCACTAGGAACTCAAAAAATAAAGGTGCCAAAATTTCTTAACGCTGGGAAAAATTAACTGAACTCAACCGTATTATGTTTTGTTTTTGTAGTAAAATTCCTATCTGCTAGTCTCCGTCTTTATCAATGTAAAATGGGGGGCGAGCTGTTTTAGAGTTCAACTCATTTGCTACTCATTAATTTATTTCCGCCTTCTATTACACCCACGGTGTGCCACTTGTGTTTTAGCGAGTAGTCATGTGTTTAACACAAAAATCTTACTTTTGACAGGTAATTTCCTCCACATCATAAAACTCACTTTTTACCACTTTGATTAAAATCACTAAAGTGAAACCAATAGTAACTGCTTTGAGCAACAACTCCGTTAAAATCCCACCAAACACTATAGCGATATTGCTTTTAACCTGTACAGTTTAACCGACAATTGTATTCTTACAGTAAAAAAGCTTAAACCGACGTACAAACCAGCTGTACAAAAGGCGAGACGCATCGGGGGTTTATTACAAGGGAAATAAATACGTGGGCGCTGCAGTGTTAAGGCTTGAACTTGACCAGTGGTATGTTTTTCGACTGAAGACACTTATCACAAACCCACTCTGCGTACACTTCTTGCGTTAACAGCTGGTAAGCCGCTTCTATCAGTCCTGTGCAAACTCTGCAACATAAAACAGAACATTAGACAACCGTCAGAGGAGAGATGATATATCATAAGCAATCATAAAACATTTTACTGTATCCAGGGTTAGTTTGGTCAAGAAAAGGCTCTAGGCCAGGATTTTAAATTGTAGATACAATGAAAAATAACAACTAAATTGCTGTCAGTGATCTTGAAATATTCAATTTTTGTTAAGGCCTATAATATAGTTTTGTGTGTTTCTTGTGCCAGTTTGGATTCTTTCCCATTCAGGTAAGAGCATGGATTTTAAAATTTTCTAAAAGATTCTCACAATAAATTTTAAAATCCATGCTCTTGTGCTCTATGTTTCATCCTTGACAATCAGCTTAGTGAAAGAAAAGCCTACCCTAAACAAACTGTGAAAGTGGATAATATGGGTGAATTTACTACAGGTTAAACTGTGGAATGTTGATACACTTTACCTATCTTAACGTGTGTACACAAAATAATAAACTTCTTCACACAGATTCCTGAATAAAATAGAAACCTTACCACTCAAGTAAACAAAAATGTTTTTAAGCTTAAATGTTCTTGAAAGAGACAAAAATTCTAACATTGCTGTTATTTCATTATTTTTTTATACTGACTCACCGATGGAACCAGAAGTTGCAGCCTGACTCACACAGGATCGCCTGGTCGTTGTCATGGACCTCCTTGTGGCAGATGCCGCAGGGGTAGATGGGAGGTGCGTTGGGGTTCTGGGGGTTGAACACCATCGGCTGGTCCACAGGATACACCTGCATATTCATTATATTCTTTATTCGTGTGAAAAAAGATTGGGACCTCCTCCATTGAGCAGTATCACCAGTTTTTTCTGTTATGCATTCACTTATTTGACAGATAATGATGTGTTGACAGTCAACAGATCATATGGCTCAGTGCTCGTTGTGGCAATGGTTTAAACTGCTGTTTGGATGGAGTTTCAGATGCCCTATATCTATTGCATTGAAGCCTGACATAGCGCTGTGATTGGTCAAATTTTTACTTACAGTTTATATGTGTTTATAGTTTATAGATTTTAAGTAACATGCATTGTTATTCAAAAGTTTTTATATTGATATAAAATAATATAGATTGATATTCAATTCTGTGATATACTGTGATATATCACAGAAGAGACCACAGTTGTCAATTGAGAATAAATATCATAATATTAAAAACTTTTGAATAACAATGCATGTTACTTAAAATCTATAAACACTATAAACACAAATATAAACTGTATGGAAAAATTTGACCAATCAAAGCGCTACCTCAGGCTCTAATGCAATAGGTCAAGTTTTACATCTAGTTAGGCTACATAAGGTCCACTGTGATATTGTTTATTGTTCATGACACTGCTACATTTTTCAGTTTATAGCTTTGACAATGTCTATTGCACAACTGTAGGGCCTATCTAATGACAATAAAGGATTCTTATAGGAGTTTGGACTCATATCTAGGACTACCGAGTCCCTGTGTACTACCTGTTGCAAAAACATGTTGCGTCCATTATCACCAGTACTAAAAACATTGACCCTGCTTGAATGTTTATGTACATTTAAATGCAGTTATAAAAATCAAATGTATGTTAATTATTACTATTAATAATATTGTCTTCAAATAGGAGGACTCCGTCCCAGAGTCCTTATCCACCAGCTGCCACTAGTTTGGACTGTTTCCTTGCACATTTTTTGGGAGTTTGGATCAGTTCTAGGTTAGTTTCCAGGGTTAGGTTAGGTTGGGTCGAGTTAGTTTGGATTAGATTAGGAGGTTAAGCTAGAAATAAGACTACCTAAACTTCATAGTAAAACTATCTATTGTTACATAAATTATAGGCTAAAATGATAACGGAAACGTCTTATTATAGTCCCAATTGTTTTTTCTATTGCCAGCATGAAAAAAAACCATTTAAAATGTTTGAGGTGGTAGCACACTAACCTTGCCAGCAGACACGGGCATGGGCTTTGGTCCCTGGTACCCATGAGGCATGCCCATGGGGTGCATCCCCTGCATCATATTGTGGTTCATCATCCCTCTCAGCGGTCCGTTACTGTTGATGGGTGGTCCTCCGCTTCCTATCGTAGAGTTGACACTCGTCGGAGGTCCGTTGTTCATGTTGTTCATACCTTTGCTCATCATAGAGTTCATGTTCACACTGTTAACGTTCACATTGTTCATGTTCACTCCACAATCACTGGTGGGAATGTTCGTGTTCATGTGGTGGGGAGACTGGCCGCCCATGTGAGGTGATGGGCCGCCCATAGGTGATTGGTTCATGTGCGAAGGTGGCCCACTCATATGAGACTGGGGTCCGCCCATATGGGGTGAGGGACCCATATGTGAAGGACCGTTAGGACCCATGTGTGGAGAAGGACCGGGTCCTTGCATATGAGGCGAAGGGCCCCCCATGTGTGGTGAAGGGCCCCCCATGTGCGGCGACGGGCCTCCCATGTGAGGTGACGGGCCTCCCATATGTGGCGACGGGCCCATGGAGTTTGGACCGCTCATGTGAGGGGACGGCCCACCCATACCACACATGGGGCTGCCCATGGGCCCGTTCATGGGACTTCTGTTCATCACTCCGCCCCCCATGTCACCCATGCCCATTGGGCTGGAGATGGGGGGCCCCACACAACTGCCGCCCATCGGCCCGTTGGGGATCGGACTGCCCATCGGTGAGTTGCAGCTCATCCCGTGAGGCCCTTGAATCGGACTGCCTTTACTGCACTCCATTGGACTCCCTGGAATAACACAAAATGTGTTAAACACTTAGTAACCAAAAGAATGTACTTAAATTACTAAATAACCAACCCTATCAGGATGCAATTTATTACCTTTTAGAAAAAAAATATTTCTTTGCTGTAAACTTTCATATTGCAAAAAAAATTAAAATGTAATCCTACAGTAATAAGTCTACAGTTAAGTGCATGGTTATCTAGAAAAAGGCTACTGAAATATTGCATTGAACCTGAAAATCTATCACATCCTGAATATGAAAATCCATCACATCTAGAATATGAAAATCTGTCACATCTAGAATATGAAAATCTATCACATTCTGAATATGAAAATCTATCACATCATGAATGTGAAAATCTATCACATCCTGAATATGAAAATCTATTACACATCCTGATAATGAGAATCTATCACATTCTGAATATGAAAATCTATCACATCCTAGGCCTATAAATAAAACATAGAAATAAAAATTGCTTTTTTTTTTGATTATTGCGGAGTTTTGACTACACTTAAGATCTGAAGCACCTCATTGTCTATGAGAATTGTTTACCTACAAAACCACTTATATAATTGTTTACAAAGTTATACAACTGTTCAATACATAGCCTACAGAGTATAGTTGAAGCAACTGCCAGTGGTGAGGTGAGAGAGATTAATTATAAATCCAAACTACTGTAGTTTGCTTGGTAAATATAACCTAGTGGCATTTAAAATTTCAAGCTAAGTGGCGACACACTTGTAACATCCAACAAATGGCTATAGCTAGTTCAACTAGTTAGTAGATACTGAATGTTAAATGTTTCCACACACCTCAAAAGAATACAAAAAAGTTAAACAATATTAATCTTAAAATGCTACAAAAATTGAATGGTAATATCATTGTGTTCAATTACATCTTTTTTTTACAAATAAAGTTTACTTTGCATAGCAAAAGTTATACATTAGAAAACGTAGTGGTTTTTCACACAAAATATCAAACTTAATAATAAATACATAGTGCAATATACTAACTTGAGCAGTTTTTACCCCTCACATCATAAGGGCAACAATCTGTTGATAAAGAAAACAATTATTATAAAGCATTTCATTAAACTTTTACGAAACAATACACTCAAACATCAATGAATAAATCTCTTAAAGAAAAACATTGTATGTTTTTGAAATCTTAACTCAACAACCTAAAAAAATTTAGAAAACCCTATATTCATAAGCAAGTAACTGAGTAAATGTAATAATATATACCAAATTCCATTTTCAAATCAAATACCTTATTAGATTAATTTATCAAATAATCATAAATTAGGAATGATAGGTTTTAGCAATAGCTTAAAACCACAATTCAAATTGTGGAAGAAAATTGTTTTAATTATTTCAAATAGTCCCTAAAGCCATAACCAATTTATTGACAGCTAAATTTCCGATTTACTGTAGACTATTATGTACTCTGTACAATGTAGTTTGTTTAGCCCACAATGGAAATGATTTTGATTTATAAAAGACAAGCAGGCAAAAAAAATTGAAAATTGATAACGAAGAGGATTTTTTACTCATGAAAATTATAATTGCAACACCCTCTGTAAACAATTGATATATAGTTTAGTTTGTCAAGTAGTTGCTTTTCTGGAAAGATACTGCTTTAAGTTGTTACTTTTTGTAACTTGTTTGAAAAAAATTTCTAGTACCTTTTTGAGCTAAAATGAGATCTTACATTGATACTACTACAGAGGTCCCTAGCGTCACCCCATACTCACCTGAAGGTTGTCCCATAGCGTTCATCACAGGTCCCAGCGGACTGCCTACAGACGGACTCCTGTTCATGGGGTGGTTCATGGGACTACTCTGGGGTGGTCCACAGCTCATCATGCCTACAACATGGTACAATTACTACAATGATCTCCGCTTATCCAACTTTACAATTGTACTTCCAAGTGGTTAACTCTATAACGTAGTGAGTTTGTCGAGACAACACCTTTTACCACCGCTGTCTTTACACTGTGATTACACACCAGGGTTAAGGCTCAACTACATCTTTACTTTCGGACTGTTGTACGTTACTATATGAACACAGTAGACATTTGCTAATATGGCATGTTCGAAGCTTAGGCAATGCTGGATTAGCCTACCGAAAATTCTGGATTAGCCTACTAAAGCCATTATTGTGTGACAAGCGAAAATAAAGGTTAAGTAGGTATTCTATAATCTACTGTTCAAGCGGTACTTAAAATGTCCTCACCTCCTCCCTGGTTACAAGGTACCATCGGGCTTCTCTGAGGTCCGAGGGGGCTGCCCATGCCCGGGCCACAGTTCATGGGCCCGCAGTTGTTCATGGGCCCGCAGTTCATGGGGCCGATGGGGCTACCCATGGGAGGACCACAGTTCATAGGACTGCCCCCCATCTGACAGGGCCCAGGTGGCATATGCATCATATGAGGGCTGCATGGCATGTGTCCTCGGTTCATGTGGTTCATGGACATGACCTGCTGCTGGGGCGGCATGTCGTCAAACGGGTTGGACGCAACTATCGTGTCCCCGTAACCTGTAAAACAATGTTGCTTCGGTTAAAGTGAAAACTACTTCGTCATGCAGGAAAACCAACTGTTTTAAAACCAGCTGATCAGCTCATAGATTCATGGTCATAAGCAACAGCAAAGACTTATTTATCTGAATTTTTTGTGTTTACCTTTTAAGCCAGTGACATTTTTTGTAAGGGAACGGTCTGAATCATTTACTGTTGTCCGAATTATTTACTTATGTCGACCTTTTGTTGGGTAGCCACTCGGCTACCCATACAACTTGTAGTTAGGTTAATATTTTGCGCACTATGACTATGACCAAAAATATTGCTCAGCACACACAATAAAAGTGACTATTCAGACCTTTATGTTATGACCACCATCAAGCTCTTATCAGATTAAATGCTATGTAACATATCAATCCATGTAAACAAAGGTGAATTAGCCTCCATACTAATAGTGGAAGAAAGTACTCGGGAAATAATAATATTTATCTAATAAAAATTCAAACTCATATTTACACTTAATACTGTTAACCAAAAAGACATTTACGGAGTACAGTTAAAATACTTATGATGTTAAACGGTGATTGATTTTGATTGGAGACTCCAATCATCACCTGACTGGTTGATCAATAAGTTATTAAAAACAAGAAACTCACAAGGAAGGACTGTCTCAAACTTACCAGACAATGGAGGAGGCAGCAGATCCTGAATGGCAGGTGGAGGGTTCTGATTCATCGCTTGGTTGTTGGATTGTCGTCGCTTTTTCTTGGGCGGAGGCGGCTCAGGATTGGACATCATGGGGGGTTTAAACTCCCCCATACCCATCCTAGACAAACAAAAAGCAAATGTATAGATTTTGTACAGTAAACCATACCAAGTGCAAGCCTCTTCACTTAAAGAGTCCTTGGATGATTTCAAACAGCTACTGAAGAGTTATATAACGTCCAAAAATATTTGTTCAAACACCAAAGTGATTATAATTTAAATATCTAGTATAGACCTCCTGTGAGATTGGAAATGTTTTTTGTAGTTTTGAACTGTTCTCCAAGGGAGCCCATGGAAGCTACGGCCATCAGGGTTTGCCCGCCATAAGCGAAATGTGTGATTTTGTTTATAAACTTGATTAAAAGTGTTGTAATCTTACCAGCTTAAAAGTACAAGTTTTGAGGGAGGGAGCTGGTCGAGTTGTAGATTGACAGACTTTGCTCCATGAGGTCCCGGGTGACAGTAGTAGTTAATCGTTAAACACGTGTTTTGTGTAATTGTTTTATATTTTGATTGAGTTTTTGTTTTAAATGAGAACACACAACCTTTCATGTGTTCAGTATAATTATCTAATAATTAATCTAATGACACCGGGTTCAAACCCCTATTTTTTCTATATAATGGCAAGATCCAATGGGTTTCGCCTGAATGTGTAAAACAGTTCCGTGACTAGAACCTAGCAGCCTAGAATATGAAGGAGGGGCATGAATAGTGCAAGTTTACTCTATGATGAGGTATTTACCCGCAGTTGAGTTTATCATCGGGGAAGCAGAGGGGTCGCTGCAGATGGTGTGGAGGGGGAGGAGGGGGTCCATCGCCTGGACACTGGTTGTAATACATCTGGCCCCGACCCCTGGGCATGCTGCAAACATATTACGTTTTAGTTTCTGCCAGAGTTTACGAACAACAGTTTGACATTGGTCTGTCTAAATAATACAAATTATGGTCGGTTACCTTTATTGTAGTCTAAACATATTTTTTTTGTGTTTCTGGGCCAAATATCAGATATACTCCCTACACAGAACATTTATTCTGCACATGAATGTAAATGTTTCAGGTGTAAGTACTGTATGTGTTTATGATGAGGACAATGTTCACCCAAGAAATTACAGAATTTATCAGGTATCCTCGGCTTACCATTTTACACCACAAAAATTGATAATGGTAAAGGTGAAGTAAAACGTTCACCAATAAAGGTGGAGAGGCCATTTTGGATAACCTATTCTTTTGTTAATCAATGCTATGAATACAAAAGTCGTCTTATATGTTATTTTAAATTACTAACATCTTAAAATTATAAATTATAATTAAAAAAAGATACAGAAGTAAAAACAAGGTTTCAAGCTAATGAAGAGCCATCAAATTATATTGACAAATGGATGAGAAGCAATTTGTCATTTAAATTAAACACAAACACCTGAACAAACCAAGATACAAGCATAGGCCATTGCATTAAGCAATATTTAACTTAAATTCAATTAAACCCACAGGCCTACTTTTTTCCAAAATATTATTGTAAAGGTGTGGATTACTTGTTCGTCAACAAAAAAAGAAAAGTATTTTTTCTTAACTTAAAATGGCTCTTAACTTGCAAGAATTTTTATCCTAGAGATAAAAATAACAAACCAAATAGACATAAAACTTTTACACAACACCCATTATACTCCCTCAGCAGCAAATCAGCAGACTAAGCAAATTTCTATTATCCTGATTTCATTTTCACTTGAATGTATTTAACTTAAACATACCATTAGGTTCAATGAGAACCTAGGTTTGCTGCTACGACGTGGGTATCAAAGTGTTTTTAGTAGGCCTAAAATATTATTCACTTAGTATAAAATAAATAAATTTGCCAAGTTTGATCAAAAGCTTAATTGATAATGTAAGGTCTTACCTTTGCAATCCTATTACAGTATTGTATTGTACTACCGATATATCAATTTGCTCCGTGCTCAAAATTGCCCACATCCACCCTAGATAACTTAAGTTAACTTAGTTAGGCTACATTAAATATTAGAGCTACCTTAAGGTTAGTCCAAAACATCTAAGATCTTACCTCATGAAAGGAGCCATTCCACCAATATTGTGGCTCATGTCTTCGACTGTCTCATGGTACATTCACTGTCAAATAATCTGCCTCGTCAGTTTCATAAAACTAGAGATGGTTCCTGCAAAAATTATTAAGCATTTGGTAAAATCACAACTCTCTCGCCTTTAAACTTACCAAATAGGAAATTATGTGTATTGACCATGGGAACCTATGACATAACAATGTATACATCATTAGAAACTAGATTTTTATCTGAAAACAATGGTGCAAGTATGTAGTTCTGCTGTCAGAAAAACCGAATAAATCACGGTTGTTTGAATTTTATTACTGTAATGCCTCTTGTCTCTAATGCCATTACTGTGGTAAGTGAATTCAATACTAAATTAACAGAAACATGAACAATTGAAAGGATCGTCTAGGGAAAAAGAAAAAACCTAAGACATAAGACATTTATTGATCTTTAGGCAAAATTACATGCAATCGATCTTGTCATGGACGCTTGAAATGCACAAAACAGTCATAAGTACAATAGTTACAATAAGTACAAGACAACAAACATTAAGTTTGTAGGTAGAAAGAGAACAAAGCGAAGAATAATTTGTAAATGCAACTGAACGTTGATTAAGTTATTGTGAACTAGTCAGTTCTTATTTAGACAAGTGAGGTAAGTTAGATAGGTCGGGTGTTAAGGGGATTCGTGACTGTAGCCTATATTTTTAATGTTTTGAAGTTAGGTTAGATTGTGAAGGTAAAGTTTTGGTTAGGGCCTATAATGAAGTGAGTTATTGATTTATGCTCCAAAACTGTTTAGGTACTTTTCAAACTATTACCGTATTTATTTATTATTTTAAAGTGCAATTTTTAAACAGTCTATAGAACATAAATCAACAACTTGATTCATTATAACTGAAACTTTCTAACTTAACCTACATTCAAAGGACTTAATACAGTCACAAATCTGCAAAACGTCTGACCTACCTGCCTCACATGTCTTTTCCTTCTTTAAAAACAAATTTTAAGCTGTTCGAGAAGTATGGTTGGGTTATGTTTAGGTTAGGCCTAGGTAGAACAGTGTCAATTTGTAATAAATATATAAGTTAGGCTATCAATTTTTTCAAGGAAGTTTGGTCATAGATTAAACACAATGACTAGAGTAAGGTTTGTTAAGTCTGCCACTACACCATTATCATAATGGGACATAACTGTTAGGCCTACATGGTCAAAACCTAAGCTAAGCCACTCAGTGAAGTGGAGAGAAGAACCAAACAAAATGAATCATTCTTCATTTTTCATAATCCAGTCCAGATTAAATATATGTCCGACCAAGGAGTGTTTAAATTAATATCCTACTTAAATTAAAACGGATTTACCTCTTTAAGTTTTATGGATGGGTTGTCAGGGTAATATTTACTTTAAAATGGCATCCTACAATCAATAAATGTGATTTGGGATAGGCCTATTAAATTTGATTTTCTAGTGTTTGCCTACTAGGAATTGAGGTGCAGATCAACATTCCTGTTACGGTAGAACCTACAACATTAAAATAAAATTCAAATGAGAGTACGGTAACTTACCAGGTAGTTTATTCAGTTTTTGTGACAGCAGAAAAACTTTTAGGTAAACCATTGTTTCAGGTAAAAATCTAGTTTCTATTCAAATTCTAAACCAAACAATGGTGAGTCTATATGCCACTGTAGTAGGCTAAACCTGGTTTATTCCCGCAATCACAGAAAACATACTACTATAACCCAGAATGCCAACCGCATGGTAAAAACCATTAAGTGTTTTGAGAGAGCTTTGCCTTTCAATCCGTAGGCAGCGCCACCAGCGTTACCATGCACTCAGCATAGCAAACGCTGGTGGCGCTGCCTACGGATTGACAGGCAAAGCTCTCTCAAAACACTTAATGGTTTTTACCATGCGGTTGGCATTCTGGGTTATAGTAGTATTATGTTTTCTGTGCCGCAATCTAACTTAGTCCATTTTGGTACTATTTTCCTGTTAAAGGGAACATTAATTATATTATAATTGATCTTTTCGATATCAATATTTTTGTTTAACTTCACAATCCGTTACTTCTGTTTTATTATCTTCAAACGCATTTAAATTACAAATTAAGAACTAGGTAACCTTGTTTAGGCAAAAATAATACCGTAGCCTATATATAGGCTATTAAATTAAGAAATGAAACTATTCTACCTAACCTAACGTACTAAACCAAACTTGCTGTAGGTATGCTAAGTTACCATTTCAAAATTTCATTTTATACCGTAACAGAAAAGGCATCGGGAACTGGCTATCAAATGGAATTTTGAAATGTTACAGCGAGTTTGGTTCCAGGTTAGGTTAGTTTAGAACAGTTTTATTTTAAATATAGGCCTACTTAAGTTACCGGTACCTAGTTTTTTAAATGTTTGTTGATACTGAACAATATTTATTTATCCTCATCTAAGTTGTCAGTTGATATGTTTCAATTTGTTATTAGGCTATAAATAATAAATAATATAGCCTATGATCGAAAAATAAATTATCAATAAGTTAGGCTATATCAAAAAGAAATCATCAATAATAAATAATGAATTTTTTCCTTTTAACAGGAAAGTATCGTTATTTTTATTATTAGGAAATTAGGATACAGTACGCATCCGGTAACCGAACATGTATTAACTTAAGAATGCCGTCGGTGTTGGTCCGGACGACACGTATCCTCTGCCTAGCCTAAAAACAAAGATCCACAAAACCACTTGCTCTAAAAGCATTTAACCCTTTCAGTGCTAGGCTATTAATTCATATTTCGTAAGATTTTTTTGTTTGCCTTTTAATTCCATGACCTGTTGTTGAATTTTGACTGTCATGTTGTCACTATTTTATTAATTAGGCTAATTTTGAATAATAACACGATAAGAAAATATATAACAAAGATAAATCCCGGTATTTGTAGTAAACATTAAATAAAACTTAGTTTTTGTTGTAATATTCCTGGTTTTCCTATAAATTTTTATATTCTGATAGCATTGTTTGAATCCAAAATCTCATAAAATCAAAATAAGTTAGGCCTACGGTACATATAGTTTACAACGTAATATTGAATTTAACTTTGATTTAGTTGGACGAGGTTATCGTAATATAGCCATTTTAGGGAAACTAATGTTTTTGCAGCAAAGTCTCAGGAACACATTTACGATCACTGTTGTGTTTCAACTAAAAAATTTCATCTAAATAGTCCGTGACTAACTGGTGCTGCTACCTAGTAACGCATTGAACAACCATCTGTAGCGCTATCTGTTCGCAATCGGTGGCGTCAGCTTAAATACCGGTTTTTGACTCCTCAGTCTTCAAGCACAGATAGCCGAGAAGGCTAGGGCGTGTGTCACTTGGCCAGTGGCATTCGTCTGCTCGGGTTCAAATCCCGTCCTGTGTGGCAAATAATTGGTGACCCGTGTGTTTGTAGCGATATAGCCTACTACAACCACTGGGGCATAGTGAGGTGTTCATAATCCTTGGTTTAGACATACACCTCGAAATCATCGGATTGGGCGAATCTTTTAGCCAAGTGGTTGTTAGAGTATTCTATGAACATGCAGGTCACCAATGGCCGCTTTGCTATTTTTTTTAAATAACCTTCCTCTCTATATCCCTTGGAGATTTTTTCAAACAACGATATAACGTTTCATAGCACTGAAAGGGTTAAGTGCTCTGTAGGCCTAAATATGCCTAGGCCTACGTTAACTCTTGCTACCTACGGGTAACTAATGTTTTCATTTGTTAAGTTATTAACCTAATGTGGGCTTAAGTTCTTAGGCCTCATAGGTAAAAAAACTACCGTTTGGCCTACTAGACCAATAATTAATTATAATTGATAAGTTAGTCCTAACAGTCTAATTGTAAATAATGTTTCCTGTTACACCGATATTGCTCTGCTCCTGCAATAGATTTAATTTAGGTAGTTGTTAAGTTTTCTGTTATAAGTTAATGCATGTAGTTAAGACCTACCACATAGGCTTCTTGAATCCACATTGTAAATTAGTGATCTTGCCGTTGGAATGAATAAATAAATAAATGTTGCTCAGAAAGATTAAATTAGGCCCAGGCAACTTACTTATTTTACGTTTAAAAATTTAACATTTGCCAACACCCAATTTAGGCTAAGTTAACCCTCCAAGTGTCCATAGTAATGGTATTAATGTCGGCCCATTTATTGCGCAATCGCAGGGTTTTATTGAAATGTATCTTCGAAACTTAAAAACACTTTAAAGTATACTGTTTTATTATATCCTTTTGTTTGGAAAATTATGGGCTTCAATATAACATAGGTATAAAACATTACAAAAAAATTTCAACAATTTTTGTGGGGTTAACATTTCTCAAAAGTTATAAAAAAATATAAAAAAATGTATGTTTGCGGTTAATAAATTGTTATAATTTATAGGTCTACAAATATTTTAAAATAGCCAATTTGTTCAAAATTTTATGAGGATTCCAAAAATATAAGGAAGTAGCTTTGCAAATAAATAAGTTATGGGTGAAAAACTGATTTCGTAGGTACATTTAGCGTTAGCTAAGAAAGCATAGCCTAACCACAGCTATGAATCTGGCGGACAATTTACATCAATATCACTGACTAACTTACCTACTTCTTCAGGATTATCAACCAGCCCTTCAAAATCACTTAGGCTAAATCTTCTTATAATGCACCTCTTAAACCTTAACCTCTTAAAAGTATAGCCTATCACTACTTTTTATTTTTAACACTAAAACAATCATAAACGTAATAAAACACATCAGTCATCGGTGCGAGGTTACCCAAGTTGTTTACAAATACACACGTCATCTGTTACAATATTTTCGGAACTAAAATGAAAAGCGCCTAGAAACAGACATCAGGAGAAAGCTCAGAATCTGCCAAAAACAACGATACCAATCTCGATCCAGATCTGATTCAGTCAGTCCCAGAGCCTTTGCCGTAAACGATGTTTGTGTCACAAAAGCGACGCAGAACACCACGGTAGGTGTGTTGTGCATCGATTACGCGATGCTTAACACTCGGAGGGTTAAAGGGCAAGTTAAACGTAGGCTTATGAAAGTTCTGCCCTTAGGCCTACGATAGGCCTATGAAAT